GAATCGCGCACAGCAATTTGCATTCCAAGTCTTCAGTCAGAGATTACCATCTGCTCTATGACGGTTGCAGTGAAACAAAGTACAATGTTAAGCAGCTCATACAATGTTTCATCGTGATAAAGCCACTGAGATTAAACCATTAAAAATGTCTCAATCTTCAAAAATACTTAAATCAATGGTCAAAATGTGATGAAATGAGGAAAATGGGATTTTGTTTGTGGCAAAATATATTGCTGACTGTTGAGAATTTATAATTTACTTGAGATATAGTCTTGCGAGATGTATATCTGACCAGATCTATCATAAATCACGAGGTAACCTAGCTGAACATGTATAAAATGTAATTGTCAAAATATTTTGTTAGCATTGCAAATATTGTGAAAATCCACAGATTTGTTTTCGAGGACTATTTCACAGCAGAAATGGTTTGCTTCGCATACTTTTTACGCATTATTTTGTCTATTCCCTGGGAGCTCTCTGGAACTTCTCGCCTCAATCCCTCCATCTCGCCCCTTCTTTGCCCATCTTCAAGTCACACCTAAAGACTCTACTCTTCGACCGTGGCTTCAGTCTCCTCCCTCCCTTTTCCAGCTCGTCACTGTTGAGTGTTTTATCAACCATTCCTTGTGAAAAATCACCTTTCTGGATTCATCCCACCAGCCCTGGCAACCAATGTGGAACTGGAGAACACTGTGTTTCAATGAGATCGATCGATCTTCTTTGTGTTTGTAGCCCAGCTTTTCAATGACATTTGAAATAATCTTAAAATTGAAAGAAACTTTAATTATTCTTTGTTGGCAACAGATGAATGCCATCTTTGGAATGGAGTCTGTTCACAACAAGGCTGATTATTTAGTAAAATATTAATGCCAACTATACCTCAACGCTTATTCAGAACTTTGTTCTTTCAGAACGATACCCAGTACTTTGGGATCTTTTACTACTGGACAAACAATTTTGCTTTTAGGTTATAAAATATTTTAAAATTGAAAATAAAGTTTACAACTTTTTCACATTTTTGTATAATATGGAACTCTTGAGTTACAGCCCATGTAGTTAGATACATGCATTAAAGATCTTGTCCATCAGTCCTATGGATGAGAAGTTAAACTGAAGTCCTATATGTACCTGCTCAGGTGGACACTAAGGATCTTAAGGCACTCCTCAAAGAGAAGGATTTTTTCTTGCTTTCCTGGCCAGTCAACAACTCATTGATCATTCACTTCATGGGTATTTGTGAGGCATTGCTGTGCATGGGTGGTGGGCGGAGGAGTGGGGTATGAGCAGGTCAGAGAGATAAGGAGGTGCCACGGAATTAAAGGGTTTATATGTAAGAGTGAGGATCTTGATGTCTACACATTCAGAGGCAAGGAGCCTGTGGAGCGTGGCAAAGGTTGGTGTTGGGAATGCAGAATGTGGGTGAGGATATGGATGAGACCAGTATGGAGTGCAGTTGAAGAATCAAGGTGGGAGATGATAAAAGTGTTAAGGAGGTTTTCAGCAGCGTTGGGAGTGAGATAGAGTTAGAGGCAATCTTGGTCAGGGACCGAATGGGGAGTAAGGACAGTTGATATTCACATCGCACCAGATTTCTCAGCTAAATATGTAAGTTCCTACTCCACGTGTTTAAATCACTTACTGCTCTGGCTGTGCTGGAAGACAGACAGCATGCTATATAGTTCTGTTACTGAACTTGAGCCAGTTTCCAACTGACAGCTGCTTCTTTCCATCATGGTAGAAGCTGAGTCAAGCCTTAGAGCTCCCTTTCCCCATCCATTACAACCGGTCCGTACAACCCTCATTTCTTATAACGTTATATATTGTATTAAAACAAATACAGGTTTATAGGGTATTCATTTAATTAGTGTTTTCCTTAAATGGGACCAAGTAAAAACTAAGATTACGACTACCGCAAAGCTGTGCACAGATTCCATTAGCACATTTCAACATTTGAAAACATATTCTTGACACAGGTCCAGCAAATGTTTTCTGTTTTTCAGTCATTTTGTGTGTGACTTCTGTGATATGATCTTCCTGCCTGCTTTTAAACCAACTGTGGTATTCATAAAATAATTCCAATCCTCTACAGTGTGAAATGTTCCTTTGCATTTGTTTATAATGCACAACATTACATTAGCATTTTATTACATCTTAACATAGAAGAATTGTCAGAAGTAACCAAATGATGGACACAAGAAGCTGTTAATTGTTAATGCTGAAGAGCTCACTTCATTTTGAATCCAATGTTGAATCCAATCCATTCCATTTTGAATCTAAAATTGACTGCTACATTTTGCCCACAAAATTTACAGTATATTCTGTGCAGCGCTTTGAGATGTCTCAAAGACGTGATGAGACGCTGTATCAAACCCAAGGATTATTATTATAATGTTAGCATGAACTACTTATAGTCCAGCTGCAGCTTTGGTTAAATTCCTGGTAAACCTTCTTATCATTGTATCTGGAATTTGCCTCAGCCAAACATCAAAATTACATTCCCTAATGATTCATTGAAGTGTTCATTTCCTCAGGAGTGCTGCAATGTCATGTGCTAAAATCACAAGGCGTTGGAACACAAGTTAGCAAAGCTTTGTGTGGAACTGACATCGGCTTCCATTAGGATGACTCTTAAATATCAATATCTATTGGCTAGAAAAGATGAGATGATGTAACGGAGGTTGTACCACCTGGAATTAAGCTAAAGCCAATAATACAGTCTTATGATCCAAAAAAACTCAGCGCTGTTGTTACAACCTTTCGATTGAACTAAATTCTATGATAGTTATTCCATATTGTAATATCACACCTAAAATTATTTCTAAGCTCCTTTCCATGTTAAACTGAACAGCTGAAATGTTTCCTTTTCTGTGTGTTTTTTTTTAATATGAAAACACGATTGTGGGTTTCAGTCTGTGTTCGAGAAATGTTTTATTCAGACAAGTTCTGGATGAGAGCTAATTTTCTTCAGTTGAACGTCAACAAGACCGAGGCTCTCCCGATTGGTTACTTGTTTGACCCTCAACTATCCTTTCTATCTCACATCTGTGCCATGACCCACGGGCCTTCTGCCACTTTGCCTCTCAGCTCTGGAACTCCATCCCGCAGTCCCTCCGTCTCGCCCCCTCCCTTGCCTCCTTTAAGACCCATCTCAAGACCCTCCTCTTCAACCCTGCTTTCGATCTGCCTGCTTCACCCCTCCCCGATCCCGACCCCCAGCTCGGGTCAGAAACTCAGTGTGTTCATTGCCTTGGGACGTCCTCCCGATGTAATTTTGTTGTTTATTTCTACATCACCAGCACGTGTTAGTACAGCATTCAGATAACAGGATAGCCAGGAGCAAACGCATGTATTTCATATATACAGTGTATCTGATTGTATTCCAACCCCTCTGAAATATATGTGACTTTTTTTTAAATAGTGAGATGCACAGTTTGCTTTGCCCCTCAGTGTAAAAAAAAATTGGATCTCCTCCAGAGGATTGCATACTGTAACAGTACTACATTCATGTAAAGTTAAATTTCATTTTTGTGACCGCGGGTTCAAAAGCAATATTTATAACTCATTCAATGCAGCTGTTAGATTACTATCTGCATATGTCAGTGTCTGTATCTGAAAAAAGCTGTGACTTCAGTGATTGAATGGGTGTGGTTGGTCACTAGTGTGCTAGTTTTCATAGTTCCACTAAATCCCAATGTTTGCAATATTACAAATCATTTTCAAACGGTCATTTTACTGACACGTATTGAATGTGGGGATTTGTCTTGATCCGCTCTAGCATCTTTTTGTTGATTCTTTGTACCTATTCACCCTGTCTCCAGCATCGTTCTCCACCTAAAGACAAGCGATCGAGATCTTTGCTCCTTTAAACACAAGATCACAAGGCTGATTTGAATCAAGAAGTCCTTTTGGTCCATCCAATCTCATCCTTTCAGAACAATCAACCTATCACCCCCCATCGCAGCATCAAGAAGTTTGATCAATTAATCCAAACCGCAGGCCTCCACAACTTTTTCTCTCAGCCTGTTCCAGTTGTTGATTACCCTCCATGAAAAGAAAAGTTGCCTGGAATCTGCCCTAAATTTCCCTTCACTCTAAACCTAATTAAAACGTTCAGCACTAAAGTGAGGAGGAACAGAACAAGAAGCAGGATTGCCTCTCGTGATTGCAGGGGCCCCAGGCTGTGCAGTTGTCCTTCAGTGATCCTGGGCGAGCAATGGCACGACAATGCAATTGTGCTTGTTCACGCTGGAAACAAGAAGATTCGGCGGAGACATAATTGCTGTCTTTAAGATTCTAATGGGGCAAAACAATATAGATCATGACAGGCCGTTTCAACTTGTTCAGAATAGTGAAACCAGAGGACACGGCCTGGGATTGAAAGGGGGGAAACTTAGAACAAATCTACGCAAGCACTATTTCAGTGAGCGAACAGTGAACCCGTGGAACAGGCTCCCTGTGGAGACTGTTGAAACAAGAAATGTTGATCCTATCAAACACAGATTAGATAGTTTTCTTTTAGGAAATAACATGATGGAATACAGTACAACGGTAGCTCGGGACATATGTGCATGCGACTGCCAGGAAGTGGAAGGCAAATTAGATGGACCTTGGTGTTTTTTGGTTTGGCATTTCTTATGTTCTTATGGGAGGCCAGGCAATGGGAGAATTCAATCCAGACCTCAACCAGCACACTTGCAGGTTTCATTTGGAATCATTGCATAGTAATCAGGAGCCTTGGCTAATTTGTGCCCTGTCTAGTCCAGGCTCTATGTGAATGTTGTCTCCAGGCGAGGGTGGAGAAAATTGTTTGGTTCCTTCTGATCCTTATCCAGCAAAGCTAACTGCAGTTGCTTTCATGTAAATACAGCTGGGGATAGGATTAGGCCTGGCCAAATGTATCTTATGGTTACCGAATCCTTCCAATGCTCATAGACACAGAATTGCACAGTTTTCATGGTAATCAAAGGCAACATGACTTTAATGTGATTTCTTTTTGGCAGATGCGGAAACATATAAATGATCTTTATGAAGATCTCCGAGATGGACATAACCTGATTTCGCTCTTAGAAGTCCTATCTGGGGTAACTCTGGTAAGTTTTGTTTCGTGTTAATGATCCTGTGGTACACCATACAGAACACTTATCATGTCAAATCCATAAATCTGGCAAAACTGTTGCCATTCACTGCAATGCTATAAGTTCAACTGTTTAAAGCTTATTCCATGGATGGAATGGGTTTCAACTGTGAACCTTCATTTTAAGTTGGTTCAGGGTTTTTACCTATTTCATTCAATCGTTATTTCACACATCACTCCAACTTTGAAAATCGCAGCAGCCAACTGTGCACAGCCGTATCCCCCAAACAGTCGTGGATTGAATGACCAATTTATTATTATTATTTTTTTTGGAGGACCTTACCATCCATGCTGACCAGGGTATGAATGTCAGACGCTAATCAAGTGCCAGTCTTCCCGTTACAGGCATGACACACTCGCTCTACCGGGAAATCACTAGTAACAGTTACTGTGGGAGTAGAGATTGTGATGGTTCCACGTTGTATTTAAAACTAAATTAATTTGCAACACACTGACATCAAATGGTAGAAAATCAGTACTGCACATTTTGGGTTCAGGTACACACAAGATAATTATAAGGTTTGAAATGTCTGTATAGTTGATTTGAATATATATATGTGTGTGTATATATATATATGTGTGTGTGTATAATATATATTTAAATATATTATTTGGTTGCTTGTTTCTTTGCCTCTGTGAAGACAGAGCATTGCTGGTAGAATTGTATGCCTAGTGACGTGTACTATTAGCTGTTCATTTCGGTGCGTTTGCAATTTTATTTTGCTCTTCCTCGTTTGGCCTTGCTTTCGCCCTCCCATTCCTTGCCTTTATCTCCTACACCGAACAGCAAAAGGAACAGTCTGTGCCGAAGAACTTGCGTTTGGTGAGGCTGCCATCTTGTGTCTCTGAGCACAGCCCAGAGGAGGGGGATGAGGAGGGGGTAGGTGGCTCCCCCCAAAACAGCAACGCAACAAGAATGGACCTCACTGTCAGATAATCCACATGTTAAATAAGGGCAGTCTCGGTATCTGGCCAATCTAGAAATTCATCCATCTCGCTCTGTCCTGGAAGTGACTTGAGTCTTGTCGGATTTAAGCTTTACTTCTTTCGTTTTCAATAATTTTCCCCGGCCTTCTCGTCATCAGACGTTGCTCCTTAATTCTACAAAATAGCAGTAAAATGTTAGGGCTCCTAGCAGATAGTTTGTGCTAATGTTCCACGAGAAAAAGACGCTTCAAGTATAGGCAGAAGCAAAAACCTGAAATTGCGTAACTATACAGATATGTGATACCCAGTGGATTATCTGTGCACTGATGTCATATTTTGGATGTGACTTTAAAGTGAACAAACTAAACATAACCAACTAATTCTGATCGTTCCTTCTTTTTGTTCCTTCACAAAGTGAACCATTTTGTGTTCATTTATTCAGTTTTTCTTCTTTCCACATTTCATTTAAACACTGCCAGGTTCAAACAACTAGACCATGAGCTGTATTCATTTTGGCACCTTATCTGGAGACACTTTCATATGAATGAGGGCACAAACAGTCTGTGCCTTTAACACAATGGTCAAGGAGAAAAATAAAACCAAGGATTCAAAAGCCAAATAAGGATTCACAGACACTGCAGATTACATCCTAAAAAGAACCACAACATTGAATAGAAGTTTTATTTAGAATTTAAAAAAATCCAAATGTAACTTTCTGTCTATTTACTGTAAAACAAACACATTTCGTCAACATGATGGCACTTGGTATATTTAAAAGTGTCTGTTACTGTAACTGTAAAAGGAACAATAACAACAGGAAACCTTCTCTGTGTGTTTGCCTGCTGCGTGGGTTTGTGAAGATGTGTTTTGTTTGTTGCCCTAATGCATTAACCCAATTATTTTCTAATGTTTGCCGTGAGAGTGGACTGGGACTTGGACTAACTACCCACAAGTTGGGAATCACTCACCTCGTTGTTAACTAAAAGGGTCAAAAGCATGAGTTTAGAAATATTTTACAATGTGTGACTTGAATGTTTTTCTGTTCATTTTCCCCCCTCCCAGCAATATGGAATTCAATAACAAATCTGTTTTGAAATGTTACTGTGCATATTATTTTGTATTTCTTCAGACATGCTCCAATCATAGAAGAGTGGACAACTTGCAAATGTATTGTATCCTAGCAGCAAAATTAATTTGTGATAATAAGATAGGAATAGTAGTAACTAAAGTAATGCTGCAATATGCATTGTTTAGCTTGTTTTACAATTTCCGTCTCTCCCTTTTGCAGTACATTTTCCCCCTAACATTTAGCCAGTCTAACACCATGCAGATTATTTTATTTTTATACATATATACATATAATATACAAAATTACATGCACAACAACAAATTCGTACAAGCGCCTTTCACGTCGGGAGGATGTCCCGAGGCGCTGAACGTAGAACATTAAAGCATGGAAACAGCTGGGCCACAGATTTCCTTTGATCATTATTGGTGTTGCCTTGTGATCCATTTTTGCAGGATTTCTGGTTTTTAATCCTGATGCGTTTGTCGGAGAACTGTTCTGGCTTTGAGGTGCTCCATCTGGTGGCCCAGCAATAACCACGAGACAACATAACTCATTGTCACAATGGTGCTGTTACCACATGATTTTCTTTTGCTAAGGTTATCGAAGATTTATTTTCGACGCTTACTAATTGAGACTTTAGGCCTATTATTTTCCGTACTGTTGCCGATTATCATATTTTTTGTTATTACGAAATTATAATTAATCTTGAACTGTTAGATCATTTTAACATCTCGTTTGTACCCGAGATGACAAATGATGGCGCCTAATCTGGCCCCAGACCAGCTGATTATAAAACTTTGAGGCCACAAACACTTTTTTCATAATTAAATGAATAGTTGACTGATCGTAACTGTTAACTTGGAAGATTACGATCCACCCAACAATTCGCGTTTAAATAGCACCTTTCACGTAGGGTGACTCCTCGAAGGGCTTTACAACAATGGCACTGGGCACCCAGTAGGGAGGATAGGGGAGGAGGGAGTTGGTTGTAGGGATGGTCAGAGAGGTGACTTTTCAGGAGACTTTTAAACAGAGGAGGGAAAACTGAAAGGTGTAGGGAAGGAGTTTGATAGTAGGGAGAAGAGTGGCTGAAGGCAAGAGATTAAGGCTGGAGATTTCAGCTTGTGTGCCCCACTCCCTGGAACTGCGTCCTGGTGTCCCTCTGAGCTTGTTCCCTTCTTCACCGTGTTCAAGGTCCATCTCAAGACCCACTTCTCTGATTAATGGTGAGGCAGATATAGGACGAGGCACATGAAGCATGCTCGTCCTTACTGAGCGAACTGGGCAGCGGTTCAGTAGGTTTGAGGAAGTCACGGAGGTAGAGTGGGGTGAGACTGTGGAATTAGAGTGAGATGCAATAGTGTCTTTTTACTGTTCAGCAGACTTGCATCAACCTGCACTTGGGGGAAAATAATCTGATTTCTGAGACTTTGGGTCAAAATCAATGTTGCTTCTAGTTTTCTATGCACGTGCAAAGCAGAAAGTGACATTATTGTTGACCTGGTAATCCAGCATGGGATGTTAACATTGGCTGAAGACCTTTCATTCCTTGCCAACTTCACTTCCTGCTTTGTTCACTCTCACCAAAGCAATAAGTAGCATCGGAGGTGACTTAATGATGTTGACCATTTTAGCTTGAAAACCTGGCAGGCAGGCGCTAGCGGGAAGCAAGTGAGTCTGAACTGTCTTTATAGGTGAATTAATGTTCCTTTGTTGTTTCTTGATATTTGTAATAATGTTAATATTTTGTTCCTGAAACATGACGAGGACAGTATTCTGAGAATCCAGCAAAGAGGATCTTCATCTGGAGCCATTGGATCAACAGTAAATCTTTAGGTCGGATCAAAGCTTAAGATGGCACTGATTTGTTTTCTTGTACTTTTCTAGCCTCGTGAGAAAGGCAGAATGCGGTTCCACAGATTACAGAATGTACAGATTGCACTTGACTTCTTAAAACAGCGGCAGGTAGGGGGAATATTAACAAGTAAACGTTCTGTTTCGCGAAGTAAAGTTTCGCATTAAAACACGTGACTTTAAAGCTACACAGACTTTCTCTGGGTGTCTGACGTGTGCGGACACTCACCACAATGCTTAAAAGTTTTCAAAGGTTATAGTGAAAGCATTGATCTAGAATTCTGTGTTTCTGTGAAATGTTAGCGCTCTGAGATGCCGTCTGGCATGAAGGGCGCTATATATGAATGCTGTTATGCTAAATTAATGCTTTATATTATAATATGTAACGTAGAAGCCAGTATAACACAAAGTATAGTTCATTAAAGGTGAATGCGTATGACCCACTAGAGATGGTATTGATAAACTGATGATGTCTGATTTCTTTCCAGGTGAAGCTAGTAAATATTAGAAATGATGACATAACTGATGGGAACCCAAAGCTGACACTTGGTTTGATTTGGACCATAATCCTACATTTCCAGGTAATGATGCAGCATCTTGTTGGCAGTGGGGAGGGGGCAAAAAAGGTTGTTCTTAATGCCGACGTGAAAACTGTGATCTGGATTTCCACAGTCAATTCACTTTACAGTATATTCTGTGAAGTGCTTTGGGACATCTTGAAGATGTAATGAGGCGCTGTATCAAATGTAATTATTATTACTACTCTTGTGTGTTTAAAAACAACTTTCAGGAAAATGCTTTGATTGTTCCCAAATGCTTCCATAAGACTGCAGCTTTGAAGGCAAGTTCCGTGGAATCAATTGGATCACAACCAAATCTGTCTTTGATGCAGGTCAACTCTGCAGCTCTGCTTCACCATGTAGACTACAGCAAAACCTCCCTAGAATGTGAATGTGGGCATTTTGATACGATCATTGGCATTTTAAAATGTGAAATCTTTGGGAAATGGGAAATAATTCACATTTATACTTTTCCGGATGATGTTTTATGGCTTTACGTTTCTCCCTTGGCCTCTCTTCCTCCAGCCCAGTTTAAGATATTTATTAAAAAAAAAGTTTTATTTTTTTAAACAAAAGGTCATAATAATAATTTTATATAGCGCCTTTCACATTGAGGGGAATGTCGAAGGTCTTCAGAGGGTATACGGTGTAGTGGTGTGTCCATGTACCTTGTGAGGAAGTGTTTCTGGAGGCTATTTTGCGCACTGCAATGCCAGTCATAACCAATTTTGTTTTGGGGGATTGTTAGGCAAGAGAAGTGAAAGGGAAGATTGAGAAGATCTTTTTACCCCAATTGTTCATCGGAATGATTTACCAGGGGAGGCTGTCAGAACAGTCATTTAAGTCATTAAAATTATGAGGAAAGAGCAAGGGATTGGAGCCAGTGTGAATGGCTTCTTTGAAGAGCGTGAAATAGGATCGAATGGCCTTACACTGTGCGGTACAGTCTACTGACTTGTATGTTTCTGTGATGACCAGGGTTGCTTGTGAGAGGCTTGTTAAAGATGACCAGCTCTTCTAATGTTGGTGTCAGACAATTATTCGACCTTTGAAGTGCATCACGTACAAACTCTATTGTTCTCAACAAGAATGTTTTCCAGCAAGGTCCCTGGGTAACATCAGGATCATTGCTTTTCTTCTCTTCCCCCACCACCCTCATCCCACACACAAACACACACACCCAACCCACACGCTCGAGAGCTAAGGCCAATGGTAGCACTCCAAATGCATCCAGGCTGAGATTAATTAACTCACCACGGACCGGACCGGAAATCCAATCTCTAACTGGGTAGTTTAGTACTACAGTACTTGTAGCCACTGGACAGGAGAAAGGTGGAGAAAGAACTGTGCACTATACAGCTATATGTTGCCCACGCCAGTCATTTTTAGATGCAGCAGTTAGAGGGAGCTACTGGTATGCATTCTCACTGCAGTTTCACCCCCTTTGGTTAAATATAGTACAAGTAAAGCCATAGTTAGACCCCTGTATCTTATTTCACTGCAAATGATTCAGATCTGACTTGACCAAGTAAGGACCACACAATGTCAGGCTGCATTTTTCCCAAAATGTAAATGGAAGATTTTTTTTTGGTGGGGGGGGAGAATTTAGAACAGCTAATGTAAAAATAGGCCTTTAAGTGATCTCGGATAATCGTGTTAATCAATAAATGTATGTCAAATGTCTATTGAGCAAGTCTCAGGATAGCGTGACAATCAGTGACTTTCAAAACTGAAGATATCTAGCTTACTCTCAGGCCTCGCTAGTTAATTTTATTGTTTGTCACACCTTTTACGTGTTTGTTGTGGGCGGGGGGGGGATGGTTTGAGGTCAATTTCTCAGGCATTTCACTGGTGCTTTGTGATCAGTCAATGATCATATTGTTTGTGGTAAGTCAGGGTGGGACTGGTTATGTCACTTTTTGCGTAGCTAAGTGCATGTTCCACAGCCACCTCGAGTACACCAGAATACATATCTCTTTAGTTGTCAGAAATGTAAAGAAAAATTGAAAACCTGCAGTAGAAACAGTCTTCTGTTTTCAAAACTATCAAGAAAATCTGTACGCAACAACGACAACAAATTACATTTGTATAGCGCCTTTCACGTTGGGAGGACATCCCAAGGCGTACTTCAAGTCAAACCAGCATATTCTTCAGTTATCATCACTATTAATTATTTTAACACATGAGCAAAAAAAAGGCTTGTTAAAATAGCCAAAATGTCTTTTAGATGGTCCTAATTATACAGAACCCCCCCCCCCACCCCCAGCAGTTTATGATGTAGAATCAGTAATAGCTTTCTGTAAAATTTCCTATATTACAAATTTGAATAGAATTGCAAAATTGTAATCTCCTTAAATTTAAACACCTAAAATTTTAAAATGTGCAGGTCAACATTTTTTTGTGGAAATACTTAAAAGAATAATTTGATCTCTCAATCCACGACACTGCTGTGCGCAATTGGCTGCTGCGTTTTACCCACAAAATATACAGTCATTTCACTTTTCAGTGTATTCTGTGAAGCGCTTTGAGACATCTCAACGATGTGATGAGGAGCTATATCAAATGCAAGGATTATTATGGTATTATAATCTCTAAATAATCTTAAATGCGTCTGTAACCCAATTTTCATTAACATAAAATGTCTGTCAATTCTCCAGGGGTTAATGGAAAGCTGCAAAGCTACTGCACTGAAATATTTGGCAGGAGCTTGCTTGCATCGGGTTTAATTTTGGCTAATGTAAATGCACCAGTGAAGAAATTAGTGATCGAGAATTTGGAATTCTGCTCATGACCACACAGTTGAGTAAATATTTACGGCTGTGGCACTGTGAGGTTGATGTAGTTTCATTTGTTCTGTACCGTGTCAAGGACCTGCTTTTGATGTGACACAGCTGTCTGCTTTTGCCATTGGGAATGCAAGTATCATCGAGTTAGCATATGAATAAGGTGCAAATGTGGTACACAGGCCGAACCCATGACATGGGTATAGTTAATTGGTTTAATCCATTTTCTTAAAGGAATTGTCGATGGGGTAATTTTAAATGGAATTTCCTCTTTACACCGCTGACAACCAATTCAGTTATCACATTTCACCCAGAAAATACAGTCACTGCACTTTACAGTGTATCCTGCGAAGCTCTTTGAGAGGTCTCGAAGACGCGATAAGGCATTGTATCAAATGCAAAGACTATTATTATTATTATCAGGTTTATTTTTGCGTGGTTCAAGGCAGAACGAATATTTGGTGCTCAAACGCAACGCTCTGAATCAATTCAACAGTGTTTGCGACTGACGAGGGGTGTGATCAGTTTTGTGCACTTCCTTTTAATTAAATCTGACATTCTCCTGTTGTTGTGTGGGTGTGTTTGCAATTCACACCGAGGATGGGTAAAGAGAGCGAGCCGAATGATCTAATAACGGGTGAAAATGACAGCCAATGGAGAACCAGCTTATTTTAGGTCAAGTGGTTTGAACTCCTGTGAAATCTCATGGATTTCTCTACTGTACTAAGGCGGTACTTTAAGATGGCTGACTGAATGATAGGCTGAGAGTGACTTGCAGCTTGTTAGAATTTTAAATTGCCTCTTGGATTCTCCTGGGCAGGGATGGAACTTTTTCTGATCAGCTGGGCTGTGCTGCAGCCGGCTGTGCGTGAGAGAGGATGATTTCAGTGCAGCGTTGACTGCCTGTATTTTTTTTTTAATGCTGACACAATGGGAAATTCTCTAGGATGCGTTCGCGAGCAACAAGAGCCTGTAGCTGCAGCAGCAGCAGGTCAGAGGAAAGCTCCACGTAAAAGAATCCGTTTTAAACGCAAGAGGAGAAACAAGAAAGGTTCCCCGGCTTCGAGAGATTATTCAGGGAAAGCCGTTAACGCCGAGAGAGATCCACTGGGAAGATCGCTTCAGCCGGAGACGTTGCAGAAAGCAGGAGGCAGCTGGGATAATAATCAGAATGGGGAATATCTTGCCCGTATTACGGAGCTTTCAGATGCTTTACAAGAACCCGGGCTTGTCAGTAATCCTGCAAGTGCTGTTACGACTGCGGACAGACCAGAGGAATCAATAAATGAAAATGTTGAACCCAAGGGAGAAAACCAACAGGGAACTCGAGCTGAAATTAAAGCGGCAAATGCATTCAAACCTGTGGAGATGTTACTTGGAAAAGAAACACGGTTACCTGATCAAATTTCATTAGGTAAGGAGCTCGGCGATTTTGACCCAGGAATACAAGGTTTAGAAGCTGAAATCAAAGGAGATTTGAAATCTATCTTCTTGTCGGTGTCTGGAGTAGAGAGCCGAAGCCAGCGTGCCAGGCAAACTGCAGCAATAACCTGCAGAAATATTGCTGATGATACGATTGACTGCAATGAAGTAAAAGAAGGTGTTGAAAATGTTCTACCCACTGGAGTGAGAGTGGGTGAGGTGCTTCTCTTGCAGTGGGAGGACGACAAGCTTAATGCACCCGGTGAGCTGTTTAAATCTCTCCTGACTGATGCTGCCTCTCCAAGCAACAGTCAGTCATCGCTACACGTTGGAACCGAGTTACTTCAGGAGGAGATGAAGGAATCAAAGAGAGATCCAGACTTCCCCCTTTCACAGAGTGACTTCACTTTAAATGCACAACTTCAAGCTGACACACTGCATTCATCTGGTTACTGCAGCAATGTCCCCTCATCGAACATGGGTTACAGCAGATCTGGAGGAGGCACAAGAAGAGATTCTACCCCTGATGGAAGTAGCTTGTCCATGTCTGACAATGAGTCTAGGTTATCAATGGCTAATGCAGATACAAAAGGCAATCCAGAGCAGGCCTCATTCATTGACCAGGTAATGGTTAATTACTGTGTCCAGGTTAGAGAAGCATCTGTCCAGAGAATGGTTTGTGTTCTGCTCAACGACACCGTAATTCGAGTGTTGGAAATTAACATGGTTTCTCCCAGCACGGCTGTTTAAACTGCAGTTTATCTTTAGCATAAACACGAGCAGTTTATACTCTGAGCACTTGAATGAAGCCCAAAACGTCTTCCTGAGAAAAAAATGGAACATATGTTAAAATCGGCTGCGCACTTATAATGCTAATAATAATAATAATCCTTACATTTGCTACAGCGCCTTATCACGTCTTCGAGACGTCTCAAAGCACTTCACAAAATATATTGTAAAGTCAATTGACTGTATTTTGTGGCCGAAATATTATTTCAAGTCAAAACCAAGTACTATTACTGATCATTTTCTGCAAACAGTAAATACAGCTGCACTGAACCTAGTTGCTTTCACAGAGTATTCATCTCTTAATGCAGCATTTTTTTTTTTTGCTGCCATCTTATTCACTTGTTAACTGGAGATGAAATGACCTACTCTGTCATCCACCCACACTCAGCACGGCAAAAATCAGCTCTAACAATGCAGCACACTGCAGCATTTTCCTAGGCTAGGTGACATCCTGCAAGTAAATCGCTCTAATCAGCCCATCGTACTTGAATATATATGATTCGCAGCTCAGAAAGGCTTCAGATTATCATTTATCAGTGATCATATTTTCTGACATCTAGCAACCATGCTTGTGAGACAGCTGTATTGTGTTTCATGTTGGTACATAAGGTGACTTCATCTTCACTGTCTCTGTTTGTCTTCTAGTTAGAAACGTCAAGTGTCTGAAAGTGATTCCTAACGCTTTGAAATATTAGACAGTAGACTGCGGATTCTGGTCCCATAGTTGAGGCTTGTAAGAAAGTTGTGATTCTTTTTTTGGTCCAAAAGTTGGGGCCACGGTTTGTTAAAGTTGTGGTTTTGTTGCGGTCAGTTCAAGTTTCAGATGACTGAAAGCTCGGTCAAAGAGTTAGGTCTTCCAAGGCACATCAAGATCTAACTCTTTGACCGCACTTTCAGTCTTTTCCCCTCCCCATCCCACCTCCCTCGGCTCCCACCCCCAACTCAGGTGCTTAGCCGGGAGGGACGAGTGCTTTGAGATGCCCTTCCAACATGGAAAAAGGTGCTGTGTAAATGTCATGTTTCTGGAAGGGAAACATAAAAATATTGCTTGTGAGGCCCACGGACTTTTGCTCAGACAGGGAATCCGGCCCACAACAGCCAAAAGGTTGGACCAACCCGTCTTACGACACAGACTTTGAAAAATACTTATTGGTAAGGTGGGGGGGGGGGATGGATCGTAAATTGTACCAAGTATTAAGAATATTAGTATTACAACCGAATGTTATAGTTAGCCCTTAATGCAGATTTTATTGGGGTGATATTATTGGATAAATAAACATGATTTCCAAAAAGGCACTTTTCTGATTTGTTTTAAATAATAAACGCTAGGAATAGGTTATTTTAAAGCTTACCTGTTCCTCCGCAGATTTCAGAGATCTATGTCAGTGGAGAGTCAGGGGACATGTCTGCTAAAGAGAAACTGCTGCTTTGGACACAAAAATTGACGGCGGGGTATATTGGGCTGAGATGCTCCAATTTCAGCTCCTGCTGGAATGATGGAAAAGTGTTTAATGCTATCATCCATAAGTACAGGTATGTTGATACAATTGAAATGAAATGTGGAGTGGGGTGGGGGGGGGGGGGTGGGCGGCAGAGGGGATACAGGAGCAATGTCCTCCTCTGATTTCTATAGAATTGCCCAGGTTTAATGCAGTTTCAGGAGATGGGGCCAATGTATTTTGTATACATTTTGTATACCTGCGAAGGCATTTCATCACTTTCCTCCTGGATCTAATAAACTAAACTCATCTCTACGCCTGTTTTATTTTAATTCGTAATATTGATTCTTCGGATTGCACAGTAACTCCGAAAATGCATTTAAAACAAGAAACAATGTAGAAAGGGACCATCCAAACTGTTTTTATACACAAGAAGGTGAACACAGAAGGGGAAAATATTTTTCAAAACAAGCAAACGGTAATTAATGTATCGCCTTAAAATCTTTAACCCTAGATAAATATTTTTTCAGTGTTTCTTTGTAACAGTTGACTGATTGCTAGGTTTTTAAACTCTCATCAATTCTTAAAACAAAATGACTAAAAGCAAATATTCACTTCAGTTTACCAAAACTCTGTTGAATGTTCTCTACAGACCAGACCTCATTGATATGGAGAAGGTTGCAGTTCAAAGCAATTACGAGAACCTGGAACAAGCCTTTGCAGTGGCTGAACAACTTGGGGTCACGAGACTATTGGATCCTGAAGGTAAGCAGCAAATACGTTGACTTTTTAAGCAGCGTCATGATTTATTGAGAACTTCTAGAGGTAATGCTTTCGCGTTAATTCTTTTCAACCGTTAACACATATCACTGAAACACCTGATCATGTTCGTCCAAGTACTGAAAAAAAAACGGTGATCACAGTCTACCTAATTCTAACTAAGATGTTAAGTGCGAGGGGTGTTGATAGCCTCCTGTGTATGTATGATCAAACTTGTTGTTAATTTGGATTTGCGGTGTTTGTAAAATCGACAAAGAGGTCTCACTAACAAAGTATCTTTCATTATATATACGGTTTGCAAATGTTTCGCACTATGTTCTGCCCTTGTGTTGATATTTGCGATTTTATCGCAACACTGTAATGAAGTAAGAAGACGTCAGGGATGCGTTTATCTTTTATCACAAAAACAATTTTATGCAGTGACTTTCTCGTAGAACGTAAGGGAGGCCAGAGAGCGGAGGTAGGAATGAAAGCCAAAGCTGGTTCCGTGAGGTCGCGAGAGAGAGAGAGAGAGAGAGAGAGAAAGAGCGAGGTCAGGAAGGTCTAGGAAGTCAGAGCCAGAAGCAAGGAGATATTCTCATGGGCCAAGGAGGAGTGATTGTGGAGTCCTGTAGCTCAGTGGTTAGAGCACTCGCTTTGCAAGTGAGAGACCTGAGTTCAATTCCAGGCAGAGGGCGAAACCTTGGGCAAGTTTCCTTACTCCACACAGAGCCTAATAATAATCCCTCCAAAAAACAAAAACAATAATAAATTGGTCATTTTCATTGGTCATAAATTGGTCAATTCACTTTACAGTGTGTTCTGTGAAGTGCTTTGGGACGTCCTCCCGACGTGAAAAGCGCTATATCAAATGCAAGGATTATTATTATTATTATTATTATTATTTTATCTTGAACCTATTTACCTGAAGAAAGTTTAGGCTATTAATATGTCCATAGCACATGCATAAAACCTACAAAATGTTTAAGTCCGCTGATTATTATTTTAAAGGGGATTAGAGTTTAGTGGTTCCCAATACATTAATGTGGACATGTCTTTTCAGATGTTGATGTTCCATCTCCCGATGAGAAGTCTGTGATTACTTACGTTTCCTCCATATATGATGCCTTCCCTAAGATCCCAGAGGGTGGTGAAGGTATCAGTGCAAATGTAAGAGCTCATGTTTCTATCTTGCATCCTATCACTGGACCCGACGTGTAATTAGTTATAATTATGGTAGTCGTTTGGCAGATCGCTTTTCCGTGGGTAATTAAAAAAATATTTGGTGGCTCAATCCACGACTGTTTGTGGGACGCTGCGGTGGGCAATTGGCTTCGGCGTTTCGCCCACGAAGTACACGGTCACTACACTTCACAGTACGTTCTGTGAAGTTCTTTGAGACGTCTCGACGACGTGACAAGGCGCTATATCAAATGCAAAAATTGTATTATTAATTAACTAATACATTGTCCAAACTAGCATCTTAATCCACTATTGTCTGAAAGGGTTATTTAAGTGTTTTCGTCTCTGATTATTGTTGCTATGTTTATTCTGCAGGAAGTGGACAGCAAATGGCAGGAATACCAGAATAAAGTAATCTACCTCTTCCAGTGGATCAGGCAACACATCACAATGATGTCTGATAAAACTTTTCCACACAATCCTGTAGAACTTAAGGTACTATTCTATTTTTTTCTTTCTCTCTTGGCCCTGAAACAGTTAAAATTAAGCAAGTTATATTTAAATGATCGCAATCGAAGTCATGGATCAGTTCAAAACGTAGTCATTGTGATCAGTTCAAAATAGTAATTTTTCCAAAAGAATGTTACAAACAATCATTTATTTTCTTACTGTTTGACACCTTGTATTATAGTGCTCCGAGACACTGCCCCATCTAAAAGGCACTAAATAATTATACATTCTGTCTATTTTGGGCGGGTGATATGTTTTTTGTTGTCTTATAAATGCAAGTTGTTATCTTGTTTTACTCGTATGGGAAATCATTAGACAGTGGCAAGTATAAATTGCAACTTTCATATTTGCTACTGTAAAAGTTTTTACCATTATTGCGTGAAACTGTTATGAATCAAGTTGTTTGAAATGTTCCGATGATATCTTTTTTAATACTCGTTTGCTCCCCCGATTCTGTCTTAGGCACTTTATAATGAATATGTACATTTCAAAGAGACTGAAATTCCAGCAAAAGAAGCAGAAAAGTCACAAATACAACATTTATATAAATTATTTGAGGTAAGATTTCAGCACTGGGCATCTTGTGAAATAAGAGTACACAAAACAACTTTTCCTCCCGCAACTGAAAATATTATAAATACTGTTTCTAATTGAGAAATTGTAAAGCTAGAACATATTTTTGTGATATTTGATTTATTTCGACTTAGGTTTGGATGGAGTTTGGTCGAATAAAGCTCCCCCAGGGATACCATCCCAATGATGTTGAGGAAGAATGGGGTAAACTTATCGTTGAAATGTTGGAGCGGGAAAAAGCTCTCCGACCTGCAGTAGAAAGGTTTGCAGTGTATTCTACAGTGTTAATGAGACAAATCTAACACTTGTTTGTGTGCACAGTGAAGTACTGTGATTTTTTTTCTAATGATACAGACGAGGGTGGTCCAACTGGCGGCCCCCGGGCCACATCCGGCCCACAAACCATATCCACCACAGGCCCCGAGCCAATCAGGCGATGGTCACCGGGGTGGGGGGGGGGGGGTGTGGGGGGCTTAGGCTCTGCCCGGCAAAGGAATTGACCAATCAGGATAAAATATTGCTTATGTGGCCTGCGGATGTCTCTCAAATCCAACATCTGGCCCTCAGTGCCTTCAGCTCCCCTCTCGACTCTCTTCCCCGTCCTCGCTCCCTCCCTTCCCTCCCCTCACCCTGACCATTTCCCCCCTGCTCGGGTCATGACCCAACTGTGCAGCGCCTTGGGACGTCCTCCTGACGTGAAAGGCGCTTTATAAATGGAATCTTGTTGTTGTTGTTGTTGTTGTTGTTGTCTCAGTAGCCAAAAGGTTGGACCAGCCTGCTGTAGATAATGTAAACCATGACTAGACGTTGTATGTTATGAATTGGGTTTCAGGAATCAGACCTCTTACACCTTGTTAAGAGTCATAGACATTAGCAGTACTCTAGCGGGCTATTTGGCTCCTTGTGTCTGCCTCTGCTGGCTCTCTGATGAGGCACCAAAAACTATACAGGACAGTTTTTTAAAAATATAATGTGTCACATCATAACAGATCAGAAACTATGACTTCTCTTTCTACTCTAATTCTGCTATCATGACAGCAACCTCGGTTTCTATCGAGAATGGGGGCACTTTTTAAGACCGCTGTTACAAAAGGTTATTTTCTACATAATACTAACGCATACTACTTCTTTAAACTGATACAGGCTGGAACTACTACTGCAGATTGCCAACAAAATTCAAAATGGGGCTTTAAACTGTGAGGAGAAGTTGACGTTGGCCAGGAATACACTGCAGGCTGTAAGTTTGATGTCCAATGTGGGAAAGATTTTAGTTTCTCTCAATGTCCTTGTCAATCAATTCATGAGATGTAAAAAAAAATCTAGTATTTTTAATAGGACTTTGTGTCTGAACATAGATTGATATCCGATAAACCACTGTAACTCCAAGGCAATGAATCAACAAATCATAAACTGGGGTGCCACGTATGACTGTCCATTAATTGTCACAAATAGATATGATCTAATAGTTTTTCCGTCTAATTTGTATCCTAGGACGCAGCTCATTTAGATTCTGACCAGCAGGTCCAATATGAAGCAGACGTAGCCATGTATTTGCAGGAGTGTGAGGGCTTAATCCGACAACTGCAGATCGATGTGAAGATTCTCCGAGATGAGAAGTATTATCAGGTGGAACAGATTATTATGAGGTAAGTGTCCATACCTGCATATACTGATACACTCACTGATTAACCTATGTAGACCCACTTATACAGACAAACCCTAGTAAATCATTATTTGGATCAGATTATTAACAAACAACCATGAAATACTTCTATTGGAATACAAGAAGCCCATATTTTCACTTCCATAGTTTGTGGATTCCTTTCTTAGTGATCCATCAAGTCATTGCAGTTTAGATTACAGAACTATTGTCAATAGTTCATGATTTATACGCAGGGTGACCAAAAGGTTGTGATACCATTACAATGTCTAAGTCTTAAAGAAGTGATGATATATTGGGTTTTTTTTAGATAATGGGGTAGATATCACAACCCTGTGCCACCCTGTATATACATACACACAAGTTGAAATTAATCTTCTGTTTATTTTGTTCACAAATGCTCCTGTTTTTTTCCCCTAACTGCATGTTTGATTTACAGAGTAATTAAACTTCAGGATGAACTTGTGGCTTTACGACTTGAATGCACCAACCTGTACAGAAAAGGGCACTTCATTTCCTCCACGGAGCAGACGGGTCTACGACCATTGAACCTTACTGTCAATGACTTAACTACTGATGTAGGTTCAGGCACTTTACACACAACGTCCCTCACGTGGTTTAAAAAACCCATGACAAGATCCGAACTGGTTGCTATCTCTTCAACACAAGACGAAGGAAACTTGAGATTTGTCTATGAGCTTTTAGCTTGGGTGGAGGAAGTACAGGTAAAAACAAGCCTAATGATTTGGTAACACAATCCACAACTGTTTGTGGGACACTGCTGTGTGCAATTGGCTGCCGCGTTTCACCCACAAAATATACAGTCAATCTGCTTTAGAGTATATTCTGTGAAGTGCTTTGAGACGTCTCGAACACCTGATAAGGCCCTATATCAAATGCAAGGATTATTATTATTATGGTGAACAAGGGCTGAAATTATCTGTTTTTATTTTCAATATCGTTTCATTCCAGTTAAATTTTTTGGTTAGTCAATTTTATGTTTTTCTAACTTAACTTTGAGACGTCTCAACGACGTGATATGGTGTTAGATCAAATGCAAGGATTATTATTATGGTATGGGCTATTAATTCGTTGGGTTTACTCACAGGTCAGGCTTGAACGAGCTGAGTGGGGTAGTGACTTACCCAGTGTGGAAGCACAGCTCGATATCCATAAGATGATCCACACTGCAGTGGAAGAACTGGAGTCTGGTCTCAAAGAAGCTAAACATTATGAAGTGAGTACTTCCTAAAATATTTCGTTCCTACATAGGAATGGTGTGTTTCGTTAGATATTGACAAAGATATTGGTTTAGGGTCATAGAGACCACCCAGTGATCGATCTTCAAAGGGAAACCTCCCATCAGTTCATTACTGAGCAGAGTCAAAGGCAACCAACACAAATTAAACACCCTTCTGCCCTACTAACAAACAGTTGTTTCAACACAAGATCCTTCAGTCTCCCTTCAGACTTATTTTTTTTTAAGTGTTCAAATGTCTACGTGCGAAAACTTTAACAAAGTCTTGTCAAATAGTACTTTCTGACTCAGTCTGGATGAATCAGAAGGCTGTGGGTTCAAGCCCATTTCGGGGCTTAGGTCCCATTTAGTCCAATGCAGTACTGGGCGGTGGGGGTGGGCGCTGCTGATTTGTCGAATAAGGTGCTAAAGAGAAGGGAGTTTCTCTTGGTGTCCTGCCCAATAATCTCCCAAATAAAATTGGTCGTTCACTACTTCACGGCCAAATTGGCTGCCGAGTTCGCCTACAATATAGTCTCGACCCTTCACGTTAAAGTCCTTTGAAGCACTTTTAAAGGCCTCAACCACCTGATCAGGTGCTATGCAAGGATTATTATGACTGTAAATCTAGAACCTGTGTTCAAATCAGTTTTTCTTATTGCAATTTGTCCTGTTCACAGAGCCAAGTTTCTCCCAACTTCAAGACCAGCTATTCAGACACACTAAATAAACTGGGGATACAATACATCAAACTGCTGGTAAGTTAATCATTTGAAAAGAGAAGGGATTTCCTCCCAATCTTCTGGCCAACAATCCCCCAGATAAATTTGGACATTCATTTCATGGCTGTGCTGAAATTGCTGTCGCATTCACCTGAAAATGCACAGTCACTAGACTTTACAGTTATTCCCCCCGAATCACTTTGAGATGTCATCTCTACATGAAAGGCACTATTTAATGTCATACGAAATGTGAGACAAAGCAGTATATGGAAGTACCGTTAGAGAGTGCTGCTCTGTGTGTCAGTAATTTCAATTGCACTTTGACGATCTGTGAAATTAATGAGATCTTCCCCTATAGACATGTCACAAAATTGGCTAAAAAAATATTTTTGGATTTAAAAATAAAATGTTACCAACCCATAAAGTAATCGCCCCTTATACTGATGTGATTTATAGTATATTTGACAAAGTAGAACTTGCTGTTTGTATGCTTGCTTAAGAAAACTTTCAACAACTAATCAGCTGTCTTCCTGCATATGAAATGCAAGTCTTCCTCGGTGTGTTTATGTAATGGTATTTGTTCCTGTTTCCCAGGAAACATCCAGACTACGTATGCAACATCTGACTAGTTTGCACAGTTTTGTGTCGAAAGCAACGACTGAGCTTATTTGGTTGAATGAAAAGGAGGAGGAAGAATTGGCTTATGACTGGAGTGACAGGAATACAAACATTTCAGCAAAGAAAGAATATTTTGTTGTAGGTTTCATGTTTAATATTATTATGTTTGCCAATCCAGTTGATGATGTGACTGTAAAACCAAGGTTTGCCATTCTCTGTCCGCTCAGTCGCAACTTCCAGATCAATGTAGAATCTCAACCATTTCAATTCAAAGCTCTTTTCATTCGGGGCCAAACTTTAAATAATAGCCCTTTCTTCAATGTTACATAATAAATTGGGGGGAGTGGGAGTTTAAACAAAACTCTCCTGCTCATGTGAAGCAGTGAAAATCCCACCTTTGTTATCAAAACTCCAATAAAAGTTCTCATGGGAACTGTGCCTCTTTTACGTGGTAATATTAACCTTTTTGTAATATTGGTAGATTTCTGATCTGGATTGTGTCACCGAATAAGCAGTACTTGTTCCCCTCATTGTATTCCTCTTGATTACAAACGTTGCTTTAATGTTACTTTAGCATTTGTATTACTTGAAGGTGTTTTTTTTTTTTGTTTAAAGTTTCTTATTCATGCTCCCTGTACAATGAAATCATTTATGTGGGAATGAAAATAATTGAGTGGGGCCAGTTAAAAATAACTCGCTTCCATCCCCTGTAGGAACTGATGAAAGAACTGGAACAGAAACAGAAGGTTATCAAATCCCATCAGGAAACTGGAGAGCAGCTTTCACTGGAGAATCATCCTGCCAGGCAAACCGTGGAGGTATTCTGCTCAATTTGTATCTAAGCCGGTTGAAAAATCAATGTATAGAAGGGTATCATCCCTTCCACGTAGAAACACGAGGAGGCCACTCATCCCCTCAACCCTGTTCTGCCATTCTATAAGATCAAGGCTGATCTGTAACTCAATTCCAATTACTTGCCCTTACCCTATATCCCTTGATCCCCCGACCTAACAAATATTCACCTCAGTCTCGAAAATGTGAATGGATTCAGCATCCACAGCCTTTCGGGGGAAAGAGTTCCAGATTTCCGCTAGCCTTTGGGTGAAAAACTATTTCAAGGTATTGCTGTGCCTTTTGTTCAACTCGTTTATCTAACCAACTGTCTCTCTCTTGCTCTTGAAGGCATATAGTGCGGCACTCCAGACACAGTGGCATTGGATTAAGCAGCTTTGCTGTTGTGTAGAGCAGCATTTGAAAGAGAACACTTCCTATTTCCAGGTAAATTGGACTGTAGTTGCTGTAAATATGACTATGATTGCCATATTGAGGCAGCTGAGTTTGATTTACAGCTAACCTAATCCAGAAATCCCTGCTTAGTTAGGGATCTCTAACTAATATCTAAACATTGCAACACTAGGACTGAACTGCCCCAAACATTTGGCAGAATAATGTATTCTGCTTTTAGCTTCTTGTTTCTGCCCTCAGGATTAATAGAATTTGTGCATTTCCTTCTCCTTTCAGTTTTTAAGTGATGTTAAAGAAGCAGATCTGTATTTACGAAACCTGCAGGAGACGATCAAGAGGAAATACAAGTGCGATCGCACCAGTGGGTTGTCCAAACTGGAAGACCTGCTTCAAGATTCCATGGTAAATATCGCAAAGGAGTTTGTTCATAAAGAGTATGTGACAGTTATTGTTTCTGGTACAAAAACTTCGGTTTGTTGATATTAGTTTTTTTTTGAAAAAAAGACGTAAGCCTCACAAACGTGTTGGTCAACATGTTGGATGATTTGTCAAACCAAACTCTTATTATTATCAGTTGACCTGTGTTTGTGCCAGATTTGGGAATAAAATTAGGATTCTTCTGACCACTTCATGATAGGGTTTTAACACTTTATTAAACCCTTCCTACTTAGAAGCGGAAAGACAAAGTTGTTATGTTTTTTTTAAAAATAAGTCAGCAAAACAACTGGAGGAGAATGAAGACAACAACAACTTGAATTCACGTAACGACTTCGTGCAGAATAGGACGAGAGGCATTGTACACTGTGTAAATCTTGATCTAGACATTCATAGGGGTTTTGGGGGAGTGCAGGCAGAGGAGAATTATGTTCTTATTCAGTCTGTGGCTGATCCAGTGTGACAGCTCAGGTGTGTGGATTTAACAGTGAAAATGAACACATTACAAACTGTGGCATTCAATTGCAAATTGATTTTTAAGGATGAAAAGGAACAGCTGATCCAGTATAAGAGTTCTATAGCAAGTCTCGTTGGAAGAGCAAAGACGATCGTTCAGTTGATTCCAAGAAACCCTGACAATGCTCTCAAAACAACTATCCCGATCAAAGCCATCTGTGACTATCGGCAAATTGAGGTATGAATTCTACAGCTGCTCTTGGTAAAAGTTTGGAAAGGGAACAGGATATTGGGTAATGTTTTTAAATTTCCCTATGCACTAAAACCCCAGCTAGCGAGACCAATCGTGGGAGATGCGATCCGGCAAAGGCAAGCCGGAATTTCTGGCTAAGTAAAATCGATGGAGAGAGGAAAATGAGTTAACGTTTCAGGTCTCTGATTTCCAGCATCTGCACTACTTTGCCTTTTGTCCTGGCATTGTAATTGCTTGACATCTGCGAGCAGAAGTCGGCGAATAAACCCATCTTCTGCTCGCGGGACTCGAACCGAGTCAAAGTCGATCTCCCTGGCAGTCACTGTGAAGGTCAGCAAGGCCGGTGAGGCAGATCAGAGAGTTGGGCCGGTGTCGGGAATCTACTAAATCTGACGTCCGCAGAAATAATTTATTTTAAAAACGTTTCCGTTTCGGTCCCGCTAATTACGATTTCCAGACATCCGCAAATGGCGTGTTCCTATGATAAACACGGCCGTTTGTACATCTTTTTTTTTTACTGTTGTAACAAATTTGCTTCTCTGTGCGCTGTTCTTGTCAACTGAGTACATCTAAAGGCGAAGACATTTAATGGTCATTTTTTAAACAATTTTTTTATCCTCATTTCCTCACCTCCCCTCCCCCCCCCAACCCATCCCTTATATTTCTCATGGGAGCCGCTGGGCACCATGCAGGCTCCATCAGCTGGGAAGGTTAGAGGGTCTGTGCCGCAGTCTGCACTCCATAACCACTATCAGTGTTGCTTCAGGAATGGCCAGCAGGAGGTATGTTTCCAATGGGGTCATCCAAGCATGGCAGCTTCCCTTCTTCTCCCCCTCCCCTTCCATCAAGAGATAGTGTGTCCACCTTAAGCAAACTCTTCATCTGGCAGCCTTGAAGTGGTTCATACGCTTCAGCGGCGAGACTGTCGCTGTTCAAACCCCCGAACCATCTGGTTGGGTTGCAGATTGTCTTCACTCTGAATAAAAAGTTTTTTTTTAAAATGGCTTAAATTAAAAAAGTAAAGAAAACGCACAATAATTGAGCTTTAGTACTGTAATCAGTGGTCAACGTTAGTTTCTTTACTGGTCGGATTCCTTATTATTTATTGAAACAAAACATGGATTTTACGTTGAAAAACACTTGGAAATATTCATCAGTATGCCTTTATCAATTTATTTTTTTGTTCCTTTGGGTTATTGAAATCTGTATTAGTACCAATGTGCACTGGATTTATCCCAGCTCCTTTCATCCATTATTATTTCTTGTGTAGACATGATTTCTTTTGGACCCGTATCTTTTTGAAACAGCATCATTTAATCCTGACTGAACGAAGGAGTTTTAAAATGTAGTTTCATTTCCATTGAGATTAAACAGCAAGTGTGGAGTGTGTTTGTTTGCCATGATAAAAAGGAATAATAAAATCTTGTGATTAACAGATCACAGTCTGCAAGAATGACGAGTGTGTTCTTGAGGATAATTCACATCGAACCAAGTGGAAGGTTATTAGCCCAACAGGGAATGAGGCAATGGTTCCATCTGTCTGCTTCATAATCCCTGCACCCAACCAGGAAGCCATCGATATGGGCGCCAGGTAATTTATGGGCAGAATATTTTGCAGAATGGGATTAAGTATACAAGAACGTAAGAAATGCGAGAAGAAAATGCTCCTGTAATTATCCCATAATGTAATTGGATCATTACGGGATTAACTATTTAAACCAAAATTATTTGTTGCTTTATGTATAGAAATCAGTTAATATTGCACAGGGTGACCAAAAAAGTCGTGATACCATCACAACGTGTAATATGTCTTAAAGCGATGTTGATATTGTTTGTTTTTAGATAATAGAGTAGAGATCATGACTTTTTAGTCACCCTGTATTTTAGGAAACTATTTTACAATTTTTGGGGGGGAATTTGTTTATTCATTCTCCGCAATGGCTTTGTATTTCAGAGTGGAACAAATGTATCAGAATGTGATGGCCTTATGGCATCAGTTGCATGTTAACATGAAGAGTGTGGTATCCTGGAACTATCTGGTGAAAGACATCGAAATTGTTTGCTCTTGGAATAAAGAAAACGTACGTACCCGCTTTTTGTATCTTTTGTAACGAAACAAATCGCTGTATTAATAATAATTGTTGCATTGATTTGCGGTATGATTAAATAATAATAATCCTGGCGCTTGATACAGCGTCTTATCCTGTCTTCGAGACGTCTGAAAGCGCTTCACAGAATATACAGTAAAGTGAATTGACTGTATATTTTGTGGATGAAACGGGGCAGCCAATTGCGCACGTAAAATAAAATAATGACTAAATACATTTGGGTGGTAAGGTTTTTAGAATAAACTGAGGAATTAAAGTCTAATCTTGAAAACCCTTTTTCTAGTTTTAAGACAGTTAATGATGGATTGAATCCTGTCTCGATATCTTTTTTTTCATTTCAGTTTAAAGCCCTGAAAGCCAGTGAGCAGCAGCAGGTGATGAAAAAGTTGCACATGCACTACGCAGATTTCCTCGTGGACAGCCAGGAATCTCAAGTCTTCTCCATCGCCGACAGACTCCGGTTAGAGGAGGAGGTTGATAACTGTAAAGAACGTTGTGAGCAGCTGCTGGTCGCAACTGAAGCAGGTCAGAGAAAAGAAAATCGCAAAGGATCGTGAATCCTTCTATTTGATCTCCCCGAAAAGGGCCAAAAGGCCTCCTTCTGTGTTGTAACCCAACTGTATAGCGCCTTGGGACGTCCTCCCGACGTGAAAGGCGCTCAATAAATGGAATCTTGTTGTTGTTGTTGTTGTTGTGTACATCAGAGCAAGGGTGGACATTCCTTCTCAATTAATGCTTTGAAGCCTCCGATAAAGGCTCAAGCTTATTTTTTTTTCAAACGTATTCCTTGTCTTCCCAGTTGCCTTCAAGATTTGTGTAGTTAAAACAGTTGTCCTTTTTTGGAAGTCTACCTATCGTTATTATTCTGTGCTTTTAAACAGAGGCAAAGGATGAGACCCTGAGTAAGACGTACATTTCCGATCTGCAAAATGTCACCTTGCGCCTGGAGAAGTGTGAGGATCGGTTAATACGGAGGCTTCAGGCCCCACTGGAAGGGGATCCAGTGCAAGATAGTGCCTTAAGGATCGCTGAACAGGAGGTTAGTCTCAGCACAACAAGAACGTGCATTTATATAGCGCCCTTCATGCGGGGCGGCATCTCGGAGCGCTTCACAGTGGCAGAATCTGACAACAAGCCAGAGTGAGAGGGAAGGGGGAAGGTGTGCGTGAGTAAAATCAAAAAATGGAGGTCTTTAGTCGGGATTTGAAGGTGGGGAGGGAGGGGCAAGGCACAAGGTCACTACAATTTACGATGAATCTTGGGCAGGGTTTTGAGATGTCCTCCTGACATAAAAGGCTCGAAATCAACTGCAATTATTATTACCACTTTGCTGTAGTCTTTATCACTCGTAAACTGCGACTGTTGACAAACTTCCCATTGATTTGTCGTTTTGAAACCTTTGCAGGAAACGCAAAAGGAGCTTGATGAGCTGAAGTCTAACCTGAATGAGCTGACAAAGAAATGCGAGGGTTTTTTCTACCAGTCTCCCTCTGCAGCCAGCGTCCCGATGTTGCGTTCTGAGATGGACGTGGTGATAGAGAAGATGAGTCAAGTGTCCGCACTGTCCTCCAGCTACACGGAGAAGTAAGCGTGAGACTTTCCAGGGTAATTTAGGTCCACTGTTGGATGACAACTTTTAATTTTAATACAACTTTCTCTCACTTGTCTTTTTGAGGTTGAAGACCGTGGATGTGGTGTTGAAAAACAGTCAATCAGCTGAGACGCTGGTTAAAATGTACGAAATGAAACTGAGTGAGGAAGATCTCATACCGGCTGATCAGAAGGCTATTGAAGCACACAGAAACATACTGCAGGTCAGACCTTTGGAATCTTAAGGATCTCAACAACCACAGCTATATCATTAATACCGAATTGTAACCATCAAAACGCATAAGGACAAAGAAAATATTGTGAAATTAAATTAAATGAATCGCTCTTTTTGAACGTTTTAACCTTCAGACGTTCTCAGGCACTTGATCTGTTCGCGCCTTCAAAAACAGGGAATGCAAAGTTATCCTTTCTTGTTTCTAGCAATGGTGTGAAGAGGTGGAAGGAAACCGAGGGGTGTTTTCATCTTTGGAGAAGGACATTCAGCAAGCGAACGCTGCTTGTGAACATCTCGGCCACCTACACCACGATCGCAGCCTAGATTTGGAGCGATATCGAGAAAAGGTTGAGCAGTTAAAAGATCGATGGCGACACGTCTGTTCACAGATTGATACCAGGTCAGTTATCCGTTGGTTTCTGCAAAGGTTTTATCTTTTTTTGTTTTGACGGTTTGGGTTTCGAAAGTCATCCGAGCCATTTTCTTTTGTGATGTGCACTTTATTTATTTTATTTAAGCACTTCGGGAAACTACCCTGTGTGAAGGGTGCGAAATAAATGCAAGTTATTGTTGTTGTTGTTAATTACATGCTTCGGTATTGAACCACCGAGTCTTAAAATCACTCAGATCTATTTCAGATACAACAACACTAGAAATTGCTTATAAACATTATGTTTAACAGTCTTAGGTTAATCTTTTCTGTGCATTTATACAGACAATCTGAATTAGAGAGCATTCAGGAGGTGCTCGAGGATTACAGAGGCTGTCATCAGTCTCTAATTCAGTGGATTGAGGAAACCACTTTGCAACAAGAGAAGATGGAGCCAGGCAAGGCAGAGGACAGGAAAATCCTCTCGGAGCAACTCAGCCAAGAAACGGTAATAAAACGAACACAAGGATATCAATTTTGGTATAAAACATTATTCTGCAATAACCCAGCAGCAGTTTATAAAGTTATTTATTTTTGTTGCAATGGAATGTACCAGTAAAATGACACAGTGATTTTTTTTTTGAATGATTAAAATTAGGAATTAAGAGGGCAACATAGGCTCTCCCACATTTTATCTTCTGTGTGTTTCCCTTTTGTAGCTTTCCAAACTTTCTTGTGTATGCCGCTTCCATTTTTCTTCCGTTCCAATATTTAATCCATCCCAAACGTAATAACTCGCTGAAAATAACTTTGCTCCGAACTTAAATGTCGTCAGTTTTGTAATCTTTAACCACTAAAGCTACAACTTGTGGTGAAATGACCTTTTTTTGCTATAGGCGCTGGTTGCTGAGATCGAAAAGAATCAAGCCAAATTAGATGAATGCCAAGACCTGTCTAAACAGTATTCTTCCTCTGTAAAGGTGAGCTTTCGTAGTTAATTAATAGTTTTAAAAGTGAAACGAAGGTTTCTGTCATTAAAGAACACACACAATCCTTTCTTTCTCCTGTTGAAAAACAATTCAAGTTCCAGAATTTTGATTTCTCTAGGATTATGAGCTGCAATTGATGACCTATCGAGCTTGTGTTGAGTCCCATCAAAAATCAGCCATCAAACGTTGGAGAATTCACTCATCATCCGATGTCATAACCCAAGAGGTGGGATATCGTGAAAACTTTGAACTCAGCGCTTTGAATATTTACATTTACAATTCAATCAGATTCACGCGTTAAATACACATTATTCATTATTTTTCTAATGTCTTTCTTCCCAGTTCATGGACCTGCGAACACGCTACACAGCTCTAGTGACTCTGACAACCCAACACGTAAAATACATCAGTGATGCTTTGAGACGCCTGGAGGAGGAAGAGGTACCTTTCTATTTATAGCGAGCTTCGTTTTTAAATCCTTAAAGCTGCTCTGGGTGGGGAATGGCAAGGGTTTTAAGATTATTACCTTGATTTGTCAATTTGCAGGAAATTGGGATTATAAAATGCCAATATCTAACAAACTGGTGGAATGGGCTTCATGTGATCTACTCATATAATCCTATTTGTTGAGAGTTCGTTCCTTCATCTTCTTTGGAAGTCCAATAATCAGGAAACCAGCCTAGTGACTAATTTTGCATACTTTAATTGCAGTGACATCATTTGTTGGAAGCCCTAATTCACCTAACTGAATTGTTATGAATTTCCCTCATAATGGGACGTGTGTTCGGGAGAACTTTGCTTCTTAAAGTTTCTTTTCCCCCCCCCCACCCCGATTACAGAAAGTCATCGAGGAGGAGAAACACGAGCGCGTTGGAAAAATGAAGGAGCTTCTTGGCTGGGTATTAAACACAGGTCAGGTCCTGCAAAAGCAAAACCTTCCAACAGAAGGAGCAGACTTGGGAGCCATTGAACGATCCTTCTCTGAGCAGCAGGTACATGAGCAAGCACTTTGCTGTGACCGAAACCTTTCAGTTGAGTGGGAAAAAGATAGACTTAACGGGAGCTTTGATGGCTTAGATCTCACTTAAGTTCGCAATTCAAGGATACACTATACTTATTGCAGTTAATTTAGCATTCAGTACTGATGGTCAGTACTTCTATAGAGCAAATGGTACGAAGTTGGCATGTTTTTCTTAGTACTATGTATTGTTTCTACTGTGTGCGTATATATATTATATATATATCCACATAACACTTACTAACATCCAACCTGCAATGCAACGCAGGGAGAGACTTGATTCTGTGAATACATGTTTAATTTCAAAAAAGATTTCATTTCAATAAAGAGATAAATTTTGTAAGTATATTTTCTGACTGATCTGAGAAACAGCGGCATTTTGGAATAACTTCTTTCTTTTATTGCTGATTTTTTTTCTCTGAAAAGAAAAAAAAATAATTTTAAAGGCCTCAGATAAACATTACTCTCCCAACGACAGTATGTGTTTTTTTAAAAAAAAAACCTGAGCTTTTCGGTGGGCAAGACTGCAGTGTCCAGTCATGAGCTTTGAAGTTGATGTGTTGGTGGTGGTTTAGAAAGAGAGAGACGACAAGTCACATTCGGGAATGAAGAGCTGAATGTATCTCATTGTGCTCAGTTGAGTGAAAGAAACGTAAGCAAATCCTATTCATTTCTAACAGGTTCTAACTGAAGAACTCAATGCAAAGCAGGATCAAGTGGCTGAGACAATCAAAACCACACAGATCTTTCTTGCCAAGCATGGGAACAGGTTCGTCTGTGTGTCCTTTATACGTTTGCTTTACACAATATCCAGTTGCTACCATGACAACACATCACTGAAGTGCCACAACTAGGAATAGAAGAGATCTGTTTCTTCTCCTGGACCGTGTGTAAGACATAAACAATGAAGGGCCCTATTTCCTTTGATACGCCAGGCAAGGTGAAATTCCGGAGCTCATGGCTTTAAAGTGCAACTTACAAAACACCTTTATGTAGGAAGTTTTGAGTTTACTCACATCATTGTCCTCTCCAAAAACAAAATCTCCTTCGGTTAGATGTTTTGGTCAGTTGGGCGCCTGTAACGATGGGAAACTCATCGCCATGCCCTGGAGCTTGCAAATCAAACCACTGAGAGTTTTGCTCGTGTCTGCTTTGTGCTTGGTATGAAATGCATTTGTTCTCCACCAGGGGGCGCAACCTTCTTGCCCAATGCTGAACAGTTGAAGCCCTGTTTGCCCAGCGTCAAGGCCTGTACACCCCACCGTAACGTTGAGTTACTGCTGAAGTTGAACCAAATAAAGCCACACACTAAAAGCTTTGTGAACGCTGGCAAGCTTCCTGCTGTTTGTCCAGCTTGGACTTGCCTACCTAGCAGCTTTGGTTTGCAGGGTTAATCATCACTGAGTAGAAGAATTCCAGCTCTGCTACCCCAACTTGTACCAATGAGTCAGGCTAGCCAGCCTAGCGTCAGCAATACTCACCGTAAAATCTTCCGAGGAAGACGTGATAAGGCACTGCACAACAACAACAGCAAGATTACATTTGTATAGCTCCTTTCACGTCGGGAGGATGTCCCAAGGCGCTGACACAAATGCAAGGGTTATCGTTATTATCATACAATAGAAATGCCGTTTGCTGTTTTCAGGCCAGAATGCACTCGGGATGCAAATAGACATTCTCCATCTTTTCCAATAGTTGACAATAAACTCACATATTTTCTGACCTGACAGAAATTCTGAGAATTCGTATAAGTGAATAGATGGAATGGGAGCCCAGATAGCGGGGGATAGAAGGGAGGCAAGTGAAGGCAGTCAAAGAGATAGTTTCCAGAGGTAGAGGGGGGGAAATGCAAGGGGGAATGATTTTACATGAAAACTCCACAGATTGGGGGAAAGTGGTCGTAAGTTCGCCCACCAACGGTGAGGTGGGAAGGTGTGGAATAGGTTTGTTTTCTTACTTGGTGCGATTTAATCGAAGATTCTTCTTTGCGTAGAATGTCAGAAGAAGAACGGGAGCAAGTGACGTCACAGTTGAACGACTTAAAAGAAACGTACAATCAACTTTGTGATCAGTCTGCAGAACAGGTCCAGCAGATACAGAACCAACTCACTCAGGAAGTGCAACGCAAGGTACTTATTTTGGGGGGGAGAAGGGTTAAAATAAGTGTAAATGGTATTATTGTTCGAAGTATCTTGTTCTCACCTCATGTGTCAAACGCCTTTCATTGTGCGTCGGTTAAGTGTATGAACGAGTTTGTGAATGTACAGGATAGATGGAAGTCATTTATGTTGCATGGTGTGTTTTACTAGTACTAGCAGAGTGAACTTCATTACTCACACGTACATCATTACTCACATGAACATTGAACTACTCGTCACATAAAAGAAATTTGCGTTTCTCAGTCAATCTTCTTCAGAGCAACAAGACTGCCTCATAGAGCAGCTTTTATTGGATGTCTTTCGAAGGCTGTCACCTCGTGGTATCGCACAGTGACTTAGGTTAATTAATGTTAATTATCCCGAATGTAAATGGTGAGTTTGAGTATTAGACAGCTTTGTTATTCAAAAGGCAACTTCATTTAACATCTCTCAATTAAGTGATCGGAAAATTTCTTCTGTGGGAAGAAATGCAACAAAAATATACATATTTTTTAAATATCATAAATTTCCTCAACAATAATGTTGCAAATATTTAATAGATTGTCGAGGATGTTTCATTATGAAATGACATCACCTCAAAATTTTCAGATTGTGAGGTACAATAAAGAGTTTAATTGGTGTTTTTTATCCATTTATTTGTTACTGTATTCCATCGGAATCTATTCTAAATTTGTAGCTAAAAAGGACAAAACTCCACCTGAACAAATAATGACAGTATTTTTCTGTCCTTTGACTTGGATTCGATTCTAGATTCTATTGAGATTGGGGTAACATTGAACATTTTAAGATGAATTAGGTTACATACATTATATTTTCAGTGAAAGAATGTTTGATATAAATAATGAAATAAACCTTTTTCATCAATGCATTCTCATATTTAGACCGTTTCCCAAGAAGCTGACTGCACATTGCCTGAGAAACATAATACTGAATTTATTCAGACTCATGTTCATCTATTACTCATTGGTCACTGCATGACTGTGACTTTGAAACAAAGTGTGGGGGTGAGAGTGGTACAATCGTGGCACGTTTCTTTAATTTTTTCCAAAATATCTGTGACCTCTGGAGTCTATCCTTTCTGAGGATTTTTGTGCGTATGCATAACAGTGATTCACCGTGAAACAGACCCCCATGTACCACACGTCAGCAGTGAGAATACCACTTAGTACCATACAAAATCTGTTTTAATGTATATTGCAGAGTATTTTAAAGAGTATATTTTTAACCGGTTATTCTTTGAGCTTATCTTCCATTTGTCATTAAGGGAAGAAGCAGGTGGGTACCTCGTTTTGTTTCTGCCTCACTGTGGACGGGAACTCTGTTTAAAAAATAATGGTATAATCTCTGCTTGCTGTGAGCAGCAGAGTGTGTTCATTGTCCAATCCTAAATATCCATGAAAGATTGAGCATGATGTGTCACTATGAATTACTTGTGAATAATGATGTCCAATTAACCAGCATCCTTGCTTACAACTCAAACTAACCCTTCTGAAATAGAAGACAGATTGTTTTTATGCAAAAAACCTCATAAAGCCGCATGCTGGACCTAACAACAAGCTTACACTGTGTGTGTGACTGCTGAAACACTCGCATTAGCTCTGTTTTGCTGCCTACAAGCCTCCGTTGTTGGTAAGTAAATGTTTCTTATGTATTTTCCTGTCGTCTATTTTTATATGGTGTCTTTGTTACTTTACTGCTGTATTTGTGCGTTTGAATTGTGCTTGCTTGATTACAATATTGGATGACAGGCACAAAGATAAAAATATATATGACTATTTCCGCTAAAATTGATTTATATTGCGCAAAATACAGTTGGAGTCTGTATTGTCAGGAGTATAACATGTTTATATACATACCAAAAACATACAGGCAAATACAGACTGGATTAGAACTTTCCAGGTGAAGAATAATTTGAGGATTGATGGCAGCCTCCAGGGTTTTAGAAAGTACAAAAGCAAGAACAGTTTCTTTGAAGTTTGGAAATAAAAAAGATCAACATTTACAGGGATAGGGTGTTCCTGGGCAAATTTCTAAGCAAAGATGGAGTACGAGAGAGAAAAACACATCAAAGAACGGGGCACATTCTGGGGTGTATCTCTTTAAGACAATCAGTAGGACATATAAGAAAATAAGAATTTACTAGGTGAAAGAAGACTGAGGTCCATCTAGTTCGCCTTCCACCATCCTGGCAGTCGTTTGAGGTGTTGTGTCCCAAACTGCATACATATATTATATATAGATACATTGGGGGAAGAGACCTGATACTAATTCAGAGAGCTGGAGATCCATCAAGATTAGTATTAGAAAGGAAAATTGAGGCAGGAAAGGTCATCTCTCAACTGAGGTTTCAAGAGGTTGCTTTGTCAAGGGACCAGAAAGATGGGCAAGAAGATAAAATATGTGTTGGTTACTTTCAACAAACTTTAGAAGCTTTTACAGATTTACAAGCAGAGGTACGAGAGAGGTAAAGTTCAGTAGGGGTGCTTCAGACTATGTTCTACTTGGGGAGAGAGAGAATACGGGACCATGTACCCCTGTTCCCCACCAAGAGGGGAGAAATTAAATCAAAACATCTTCAGGGGGAGATGGTAGAAAATTGGAAAGCAGAGAAACAAAATGTACGATTCCATTTCAGTTTGGCAGAAAGGTTTAGTTACATTTAGTAAATTGCTCTCCTGTGAGCAATAAAACAAAGTCCAACAATATTAATAATAATATCTATATATACCTGTATCTATTTCGCCCACAAAATACACAGTCAATTCACTTCACAGTATATTCTGTGAAGCGCTTTGAGACGTCTCGAAGACATGATCAGGCCCTATATCAAATTCAAGGATTATTATTATTATTATCTGGCTTGCGAGGACAGAATTCCTGCAGAAATGTATCTTCAGATAGTCCAAACTGAGAATCGGTGAAAAATTGTCAGATTGCTAAACATTCTTGTATTATGTTAAGTATTTTAATGAGGTACTGCAAAAAAAAGTTTGTTGCACGTTTGCTATGTGTTGCTTGCTTTTTTCGTGCAGCGTTCTGAGCTCCTTGTGTAACTTAACCTATTGCATCACAAATTCACAGGCACTGCAGATGAAATGTTTACCAGAGTAAGTCCCTTGATAAATTATTTCAAAGCCATAGAAATATTTATTGCCCAGAAGGCCCTATTTATAAGGCCATTCAGTCCATCATATCTGTGTTGGCTCTTTTGATAGAGCAATCCGTTCAGTCTCATGTACCTGCCATCTTCTCGTAGCCCTGCAAATTATTCCTTTTTAGATACTCTGTCATATACTGTCATATATAGAGGCCAGTAAGTAGAAGGTACATAAAGTGCAGGTTAGATCAGAAGTCTCGGTTTGTTGCATAAGCCCAGAAATAAAAATTTATGAAAGAAATTAACCTTTACTGTCTTAAAGTATACAATCTGTGTGCTCTGATCTTCAAACACTATGATTCTCATTAAGACCCAGGGTTGTTCTGCGTGATTGGACCCACGCAGAACATTTAGTTCTATTCCAGGCCTCCTATTTTAACGTTTTAACAACCAATTCCCTCCTGCAAAGCCGCAAATGTGACAGTTATGAAGACTTTGGCCTGTGTGACTATGAATGAGAGAGTTTGATGCATCCCACATGCCTGCACAATCACAGAGGCACTCCTAGTTTCAAAGGAAGGAAGAGGAAAGGAAGCACGCAGCCCATTTGACTCAGCCATGCACATGTGGATTGTTTGCTTTGATCAGTGGGGGAAGTAGACCCTTTAGATTGGAAATAGGGCTACATCATGCCATGTAATACATGGGTTTCTTGGCTGTTCCAGCCGCTCAACTAAGCTGCTGCTGGAGTTAGGACCAAGTCACCCCAGGATCAAGCAGCTACTTACTTGGTTCACAAGTGAAACAGTTGAATTTGATGTGATTCAGTTGTTGAATTCTGGTGTCAAATTCACACAACAAAACCACAAGTGATTCTACTGAAGATAAGTTTAACTCATCCCATCGTTGATGGATAGTCATATCATAAACCACCCAAACAGCTACGCCTACTGTCACGGATCCTTTAAGGATACTGTAATCATAAATATTTTTCGCCAACGAAATACACAGTCACTCCACGTTACAGTGTATCCGGTGAAGCATTTTGAGACGTCTCAAAGACGTGATAAGGCGCTGTATCAAATGCAAAGATTACTCTTATTGGTGGAGTCCTGTAGCTCAGTGGTTAGAGCACTCGCTTTGCAAGCAAGAGACCCGAGTTCAATTCCAGGCAGGGCGAAACCTTGGGCAAGTTTCCTTACTCCACACAGAGCCTAATAATAATCCTCCAAAACCAAAAACAATAATAAATTGGTCATTTTCAATCTACGACTGTTTGTGGGACATTGCTGTGCGCAATTGGCTGCCGCGTTCGCCCACAAATATGCAGTCAATTCACTTTACAGTGTCTTCTGTGAAGCGCTTTGGGACGTCCTCCCGACGTGAAAAGCGCTATATCAAATGCAAGTATTATTATTATGAATTGAAAGAGATTTTAAAAATGTTCTTTCTGATAATTTTGCACGCTTCGAATTTTTTCTGAACATTTTTTGTCAGGAAAAGGTTTCAGTTAAAAATATATACATTTTATTTTGAGTTTATTGTGATTATAACACCAACTCTTTTCCCTCCCAAAAAGCTAGTTATAAATAGTTTTGATTTTTAACTGATGGCAATTCAGATACCTGACTTGTGATTTACATTTTCCAGGACAATGAAACTATTGCAGGTGTGATTGACCTGGGAACAGTAGAAATCTTCCCAATATTTCATGCCATGCAGAGGGGCCTCATAGACCAGGACACTGGACTGGCTCTGTTACAGATTCAAGTAACCGTCTGTGGCCTCACAATCCCCGAAACAAACGAGCGTCTGTCAGTGGAAGAAGCTTTTCAAAAGGGTGCGATAGATGACCGAACGTATCGTCCCTTGCAAGAACTGGAAACCGCCTTAAAGGTGATCGAGAGAACAAGCTTTGCGAACACACAACTTCTTCCTACTGCAGCCGCTATTGACGAGAAGGTAATCGAAGAAAATGTGGGATTGAAGATTTTGGAAGCACAGCTTAGCAGTGGAGGTCTCAGTATTCCATCAACTGGCGAGGCTATCAGTTTAGAGAAAGCTTTCCAACAGGGCCTGATCAATGCTCCTCTACATTCCAAGCTGTTGGCCAGAACAAAAATGCAGAAAGATCTGATTGATCCGAACACAGCTGAGAAACTCACTCTCTCGGAACTGATGCAACGCTGCATTGTCGATAAAGAAACCGGATTGACGTTATTTCCAATAAAACAGCTTGCCGGTGGGATGGTGGGCCTGACATCTGGTAAGAAAGTCAGCATCTTCCGTGCCATCCAAGAAGGCCTTATCGACCAACAAGTCATGGTCAGACTTTTAGAAGCTCAGCTGTTTGCTGGAGGCATTGTGGATCCCAGAACAGGGCACCGATTAACAGTGGACGAAGCAGTGAGACACAATCTAATAGACCATGACATCGCTTGTGCCATATTAATTCGGCAGATCCAGATGGGTGGTGTTATCGATCCTGTCTCAGGTCAACGGTTGGCTCTGGACGAAGCTGTGCAACGCGACTTGATGACATCGAGAAGTGCACTGGTGGTTCTCGAGTCTCTCTGGTCCTTTCAGGGGCTCCTGTGGCCTGAGTCTGGCGAGGTCCTTCCTATGGTGAATGCGTTGCAACAAGGGATTGTCTCCACAGAGCTGGCACACAGAATTCTGAAGAAGAGAGCCACAGTAGCAGCATTGTACATCCCAGAGACCCTCGAGGTGATTTCCTGGGGAAAATCGGTTCAAGAAGGTATTTTGGACAAGAATGTCGCTGACTTGTTGACGTCCATTCAGATACCGGATGCAATACCAAATCTGCAAGAGCCAGGGACTTCAAGCATGAACAGACTGAGCTGGAATTCAGCTTGTGGGCGGCTAACATATTCAAGTTTGCAGTTTGTCAATACAAACAGCAGTACTGAGACCTCTGATAGTGGGGCAATGGAGGAAAGGCTACTGTCTCATTTAATGACACATAGTTATATGAATGTGCACAATGGCAACAGAACACTTCTGGTCGACGCTGAGCTGAATGACATGACTAAAGGGCTCATCGAAGCCAGAGAAAATGCTGCAGTCATGAGCAGAGAAGATCTGATCCGTGCGTGCAATGGAAAAGCGTACAAGACTCTAATGGAGATCAATAAATCAGATACACCTGCTGGAATAGAGGAGAAAATATACCATTCGAGCAAATCTACACTGAGGGATAATTTCGGATCAAATACGAGTGATATTAAGAAAACTGGAACTGTTCATGAACTACTGACAGATACATGCACTGAGGAATCTGTAAGCAGTAAAAAGAAAATAGACCCCCAGGCACTGAAGGTACTCTTTATGAAAATAAAGATTTATCAGTTGATGAAATGGAAACTTGTGAAGAAGCTTTAACTCAATCAGTAACTCGTAAGGGAAAAAGGAGGGTTGAACATGACAATGGTGGAGAGGAAAAAATAAAGACATCGTTGGATAAATCAGAGTCTTTCACCGGAATAAAGGTTGACAAAGCAAGTCTGACTGAGAAATTTGCAGCCATTTCACAAAATGTAGCTATAACTGATATGGAGGCTCAAATTTCACTTTCAACAGCAAATCCCCAGACGAATGGTTCACCATCTCAGGGTAAACACCTTGACAGAAAAGAAGCAGGACTCACACCTGTAAACGTACCTACTAAAGGATCATTGCAACAGTCAGACTCACAAAAGACGTCAACTAACGTAGTAAAGTTGGAAGATGTTAAAGTACTAGAGGTTCATGAGTTACTGCAGCAAGGTCATCTTAATGTGACAGAAAATGTCCCAGCCAACATTCCTGATGTTAAAAATTGTCATGTGTTAGATGTTAATATGGTTGAACCGATATTAGTTGATGTAAAAGATGGGATTAAACAAGAAAACTCAAATTGGACTTTGAAAGGTAAAGGTGAAAGATTGCCTTGTGTGGAACAAACTACTGAGGGAACTGTAACTGAGGTCTCCTCAACAGACCAAATACTTGTGTTGAGCTCAGTTCTAAACGATGATTATTTGGATGAGGAATCGGCTTTAGATATTCTTACTGCCCAGCTTCAAACTGGTGGAATCACGGATGAACGGACTGGAGAAAAACTAACATTGAACAATGCCATGACGAAGGGAATCCTGCAAAGTCACACTGCGCTCAAGTTAATGGAAAAGCTAGGAATCTTAAGTGGGTTCTTCGACCCGCAGACGTGCGAAACCCTGACTGTATCGGAAGCAGTCGATGAAGGTCTCATGGACGAAGAGCTCATTCAGAAGGTCTTCAACTCGGAGAAAGTTATTTGTGGCGTGATTGACCAAGGCCAATCCTCTGTGCTCTCGGTTAAAGATGCCGTGGAAATTGGCCTTCTGGACCACGAAACCGCAGCGAGGATCCTGGAAGGGCAAGTTGTTTCCGGTGGAATCATCGATCTGAAACGAGGCAAGCGGTTGTCAGTGACTTTAGCGTCGAAAATGGGTTTAGTAGAAGATAGGCATCTGGATAATCTGACCAAACTGGAGAAGGCCACAAAAGGAAAGGAGTCGGATGAAAGCACAAAATTGAAGATGATGATGTTGCAGATGGAGATGAATGGCATCGTTGATCCACAGACCAAGGAACTTCTAACTGTTGTGGAGGCACGAGAGAGGGGGGTGTTGGACAAAGAGACTATTCTTAAAGCCCTGAAGAAGCAGGTTGTGGATGGTGGAATTATTGATCACTCATCAGGGATGAGACTTTCTGTGACTGATGCTGGTGAATATGGCCTGATTGATCAGGATATAGCTACTGAATTAATTGAGGTAGAAAGAGCATGTCAGCATAAGTATTTACATCCAAAGATGATGCAACCAGTTACACTATCTGAAGCAGCATCACTCGGCCTTGTAAACTCAGCTTTTGCTGCGGAAATACAAGCACTCCAAGCTCTTAGTGGAACGTTTACAGAACCAACAACTGGCAAAAAGCTCACGTTAACTCAAGCTTCAAAACAAGGAATGTTAGAGAAATCTGTACTGGAAAAGGCAATGTCATCTCCCGAGTTGAATCAAGGGATTGTGGATCCCGAGCGGTGCGCAATAATACCTTACTCCGAGCTAATAAAGAAGGGGAAAATAGACCTGGATTCTGGTCAGAGGTACATGGAGACCACATATTTCACAGGAATAAAGGATGAATTAACAGGTGAAACCTTGTCAGTTGCGGAGGCAGTCAAGGCAGCAAAGGTAGACCCAGTACCTGCTCTTCGATTGCTGCAAGCCCAAGCTGATTCAGGTGGTATTCTGGATAACACTATTGGTGACAGAGTGACGCTAGCACAAGCCGAAGAATGTCAGCTGTTAGAAGACAACATGATCAAGATTATAGTTACTAATCAGATCTTGGGTGGCGGGGTGATCAACACAGTTACTGGTGAGAGAGTGGCGATTTCAGACGCAGCTCAAAGTGGTTTGATAAGTTCAAAGATGGCTGAAGAAATTCAGTCCAGTTTAGGTTTCACCCCTTCTGAGCAGATAAGTGCCACAGAGCCGCCATATCTGTGTATACAAAGCGAGACACCAAATGGAGCATCAAAAGAAGATAGAATATTTTTACTCACTGGAGACGTCAGTGAATGTGTTTCTGGGTTTCTGCAACCAGAGCTTTCTCACGAAGTGGAAGAAATCATCAAGCCTTACACTCAGAAAATGCCTTTCCAAGAAAATGTGCCAGGTACTCAGATCCAAATATTACCCTCAGGAAACCAGAAGCAGTTGAATAAGGAAACTGGGAATGCTAGTGATGAGAATGAGAATCATCTATTCACTGTAAACGCAAAAGCAAGAAAACAAAATGACGTAATGAATGAAAACCAAATGCCCTTATCCCCTGAACTATTGGAAATACAATTGGGTTTGATAAACTATTCAACACCTCAGCATATTCCTGATGATCTCAAATATGTATTACCCAGCCAGAACGATGTTGAGGTTGGTTATAATAGTTCACAAGCTCCAACGCAAGAAACCGTGTGTACCCAGCTAAAGACGAGCCATAAAGATGCAAACAAAATGGATGCGGAGCATACGGAGTTTGCTGATGGATCAGAGAGACATTTAAGCATTATCTATGAATCGCAGGAGTTTATTGATTCTGAAATAAGTGCTCTGTATGAATGTGCTGAAGTAGAAGATTATCCTGCAAGTGGAATGCAGGGAATGTTATTCAAGGACGTAGAGGGTAGGGCTGACAGTGAATTATATTTGTCAATGGATCAAGTGGAAGAATCCAAATCAGAAGAGAAAGGTAGACCTATATTAGAAGAGGTAAAAGGACAACCTGAGGAGATTCAGGAAATGGTGAAACAAGAAATAGGCATTGAAGTTGCATCAATAGAAAAAATGCCTGTTAGCCAGGACAACAAGGAACCGCCTGCCAGAAAAGCAAAGGAGAAAGTTACAGAGAACGTTGATGAAAGTCTAGCTGGGGTCAAGGGACCATTTGTTGACATTTTAACAAACGTTGGGGAAGACATAGAGTTGAATGATGAGACAAAGGAACTGGGAGGTATTGACAAAATGGCTGGAGAAGCGACTGCTATTAAAAATAAAGTTTCAGGTGTTAGAACAGCAGAAATTCCTGCTAAACCTGCAAAGGAGGGAGTTCTGACACCTCTTGTCAGTCAAAATACGATGGAAGACACGAGCGGCCATGTCTGTCTGGAATCCAAAGAAATATTCCACACAGAGATACATGAGGAAGAATTGGTAACTGCTCTGGGACCTCAGAAACACATTAAATCTGCAGAAAAACTGCAAACTAGTTTGAATGAGCAAATTCCATTTGAATTAAAAGACACTGACAAAAGTGGCTTGTTGGGAGAAACTATAACTGCTGAAAAAGTCCCGACCCAAAGTGAACAAGAGAAGCGTGCAGAGGAGACAACAACCCACAACCTGAATGATGAACGTGCAGAAGGAAAACTTAAAGCTGCTGGAAAAGATGAGGATGGACGAGAAGACATGACTGTTAAGGAGAAGCAGGTAAAGGAGAGCAGGAAACACACTTTTTATTTACCCAATAGTTGTATTTGTTAGTTCACACACTTAGGTTCTCGGGAAGGGGAGAAACCTAAAGACTTATTTATAAAACAAGAAACAGTAATGGACAAGAGTGGGGCTGAAGCCAGACAAATCTCCAGGTCCAGATGATTTCCTTCCCTTCCTTTTTAAGAATAATTACAGTTAGAATTTATCCTGTAGCTCAGTGGTTAGAGCACTCGCCTTGCAAGATAAAGGACCTGGTTTTGAATCCCAGGCAGGGCGAAACTTTGGCAAATTTCCTTACTCCATAAGCCTCTGTTTACATAGCAGGAAGTAGGAATCCAGTTGTTAGTCAATTGGCAAATCGCTTTTTCGTGGTATTAATCCCTTAAAAAATATATATATATATAATCTAGTAGTTTCCATTGTCTGTATTTGTTCATTGTTGTTTTGTTCTATTGTAGTAGATTTATACAGCATAAAAAATTATTAAACATGCAGATAAATGTTAATAGCAATATTTTTCATTGCTCTTGACTCCAGCCCGAGTACAATAAACAGCAATGTCTGGAGCATGATGAGAATCTCGTCACTTACCTGTCTCTCGTACTGGATGTTGAGGTCAGACTGAAGCAGCATCTGCCAGTGAGCACCAGCCTACCTGTGCTTAAAGATCAACTCATCTTGGCTGAGGTCAGTGCTTTGTGTTAAACTGGCCCAATTGGTTCTGTTTTCACAGAATCAAACAGTCAACGTTCTCATGTAGAGTTTAGCAGATCTTCGCACTTGTGATACAGGAAAAACGAACAGACTTTGAATGAAGCACGCATTTCCCGCATGTTCCGGTCCTAGCTGGGGAAGTACCAGGAAGCTTGTTAGACAGTGCGCTGAATGACAAGCTATGTGATTTTTAGCTGGTTAAACTCCCAACAGTAGCCCCAAAACATGCTCTCAGGTACTCAAGTTTTGGCTCTACCTAACACTCTCTGGAATTGGGTAAGCAGAATGCATGGTGATACAGGAAGATTGGTTGAGGCCAAAACACTTGTCTCATGTTTGTAACACCTTGATACTATGATGGGACAATGGCAGAATGGCCAAAAGGCTTTCTTCACCCAAACCTGCTTTGTGAATATGCAGCTAATTCCTTTGGTGGAGTGTTAAATCTTGAAGTAGTCTTGAGAAGTAATAAAACTTTAGTTAACTTGCACTGCACTTGCGATAGCGCTAATAAATTCTAAAGCTTGAAGCACAGTATACCATTGAAGACGAATAGATGATTTGTCTCGATTTATTTTTTCAGTCTTATGAAGTTGAACTGAAGGAACTCTCAAACCCAATAAATCATGAGCTGGAAGCAGTTGTTCAAGTGCTAGAAGGCTCGACACAAAATGTACCTCAACAGTTATTAAAAGCACTTGAGAAAGACTCGAAAAACCTACAGAAGTCATTTACCTCTGTCTGTGAGGTGTCTAGGGCCTGGAATGCAGCCCTGACAAATGCTTTGGATACTGAAAAAGTGAGTTGAATTAAAACGCTGCAACATTTGTCAGTGCTATTAACAGAACTTTTATTAATGTGTTTTACTGGGACTTTTTTCTTCTCTCCCCCCCCTCCCCCCCCACCCACCCACCACCCTTAATTCTCTGTTTTTTTCTAATCTTTCTGATTTATTGCTGCCATTATATTGAATAAGAAAACGAGATTGAGTAGAATCTGAAGTAATTATTGTAGTCTATCTGACCGGTCCCAAGAGTAAATAGACAATATATATTGCTGTATCGAATTCATCAACCGATAAATAACTGCAGAACAAATTATGCACAAAAAGCACATGATTTTGGACAATAGCACTTTTGTTGGTAAATGGGGCAACATTACCCTTAAGGGGAGATAAGATCTCACTTTTTGATGTTGGGCTCTCATACGTATTCTGCACGTGAATCTCGACACTCAGTGCTGGCTTTTCGTTAACCAGTACTCAGCCTGTGTCAGACTCAGATTTTGGTATCACTCTCACCTCTCGAGTCAAAAGGACGTTCAGGAGGACGTTAAAGATTCTATGGCATGACTCAAAGTAAGAAGGAAGTTCCTCCTGGCCAACAGTAAAAATTGATCATTCACTCAAGGCTGTTTGTGATCCACTGCTGTGTGCAAGTTGCTCTCGTGTTCATCCACAAGATGTACAGTCACAGCACTTTCTTTACAGTATATCTTTCCTTTGAATGTCTTCTTGCGGAGAGAGTTATGTGTGATGTATAACTGAATTGCATCTCCTGTTAAGTGGCTGGTGTTGACAGTCAAGGAGATATCTGCCACACGGCTGAACTATTTGAGGAGTTTGCTTGGATATGAGTGACTCCTGTGAAGGGGGAAGGGAAGCAGGGCTAATTTTCTCCCATTAAAACCAGGAAATTACATGTCCAAAGGTTAACTTGTAGGTCAGAAATACAGCACTAAATTTCTGTTTCTATTTGCAGTCTAAAGTCAATACCGAGTGCGAGCAACTACAAAAGACACTGGAAAGGCTTGTGGATTGGGTCACTCAAACCGCACAATCTGTGCATCAAATGGAATCCGAGACATCAAAGGAAGGAATCATCCTCAAAAGATATCAGCAACAATATGAGGTAAACTATTGAGTCTTCTTTCAAATGATGTTAGTTGTAAGTAACTATCGATGAAAGCAATACAACGACAACAACAAAATTACATTTATAGCGCCTTTCACGTCCGGAGGCAGTCAATATACAATATACAAAATACCTGTAAGATTAGTCACTCTTTTCAACCTTTCAAAATGTTTCAAGTGTGATTGAAACGATTGGCTTTGGTATACGGCTCGCGTTCCAGTACTTGGCTTCCCACAGATGCTTTCCAAAGGAACAGTTAGAAACCCAGCAACTGGTTATATTATAAATATGTCCTCGTGTATAGACATAGGAACATAGGAAAATAGGAAGTGGAGACCATTCAGGCAGATCAAGCCTATTCCACCAGTTTATTGGATCTTGGCAACCCTGTGATGATCAGATTGTGGATACGTAATTGTGTTGTGGGTTTCAATGGCAGTTAATTAATTCTCCCTTTCTTCCAGGAACTGAAGGAACCATTATCACTCACTAAATCAGACATGGATGCTGCAGCTTTTGATGTTCAGTACTTTATTTCTGAACACGCACAAGATCTTACCCCTCAACAGAGCAGACAGCTGCTCAGGATGTTAAACGAGCTTCAGAAGTCATTCCGAGAGATTTCAGAAACAATTCTGCTTCAAACAGAAGCATTAGATGTCCACCTTCGGGATAAAGAGTCTGTGGAATCTAAGAAGGTTTGCCTCAATTCAGCAACTCAGTAATTGGTCAGATTTAACCTTAGCAAAATACCCAAATTGTGTTCACAGAAATCTCTATTAGCCTTTAAATGTTCACTGGGCAGTTTACAGGAAAATCACATATTTTAGCCGAATCAATTGACCTAACTACTATTTCTTACACTTGAAGGCGATATCGTATGGTCCTTAAGAAACCGAGGTAATGTAATGTTTTGTTCGTGCACAAGTAGTTCAGATCCTGAGTATTTGAAATGGCAATCTGAAGTTTGGGTAAACTCAAGCTTTTAGTTTGGTCAAAATAGATGGTTCCGTAACTTAAGTAAAATATGTCTATTAAGAGCCGGAGGTGTATAATGTGCAGTTCGGTTTCTTTGTTCAGTTGTATGGATTACTCCTGTACGTTTACTTTGTGTTCAGCTTCAATGCTCCCAGTAACCCGCTAACCAATGTTCATTGTGTCAACTTTGTAACCTGTTTTGCCTTGCTTTTTCCAGATACTTTGTGCCGTATCTCACCATGGCTCACATTATTATGAAGATAAGGCTTTGCAGTGGATCTGAAAATGGTTTATTCGAGTGCTGATTGTGGTTCTTAACTGTGAAACCACATGCTTATAATTCCTGTCATTGTCCAATAACATCTAAGTCTGCACTGCTTCTAAAAGATATTTTTGTGGAGTTTCCACGCTATGGCTCGTGATATATTCCTTGTATTTGTGTGACACATCCTGCTCAATCATACTAATTCATGCTGTGGTTTCCAAAGTGTATATGAAGACTTGGGAGGGAAATAGAATGCAGAGCGTTACATGTTCACTTTCAAACTTGTCTTTGAAGGTCAGACCTCCTTTTCCAAAACATCTTTGCAGATTTTAGAAGCTGAAGTGTTAGCTCTTAGGTCCAGCTCTTGCAATGAATAAAAATATACAATCGGCAATGAATTAGACAGATTGTTTTCAAATTGTGAATACGTGTAGATTTAATATAGAACTACCTTGTTGTTGATCAGACTCGCGAACCTTGAAACCGAGTCTCTTCCAACGACAACTTGCATTTACATAGCACCCTTCACGGTAGAGTCCTCGATCGCTTGATCTGAAAATACGCCCATTTGTTCTCTCCGCTCGCTCCCCCCAAAAGGTTAGTGCATCCCAATTGCTTCGAGTAAGCTCCTGGAGTAGTTCAGTAGCAGCCAGTTTTATGGCAATTTGTATTTTTAATTACTTTAAGTAGGAAACGTGATCACCTGCAGAGCTTGACCTTCGAGTATTGAGCGAACACGAACGGTTAAAACTGGTCTAATTAGACTCGTAAGACATTTAAAAATCTGCAGAGAATGTGGCTCATCTCCCAACCCTAAATATTCTAGGAAAGTTTTTTTTTCGGAATGTCTGGCGTGAGATTTAACAGCGAAGATGTTCTGGTTTCTGTTCAGGCCCTCCAGGAACAGCAAGAGAAATGTGGGCAAAAGCTGGAGCGTGAAATTCTTTGGCTGACTGAGAGTTTAAATACACTGTCCTCTTGTGAGCAAAAGGTCAACATGATGGGCAGTGTTAATGACATGACTGCACTTCTGCAGCTAACCAGTGATATTCAGGTTGGTGATCAGAATTTGCAAGGCTCTGTTGCATAGAATTGCATCGATGGGGAAACAGGCCATTGACCTCATTAGCCCATGTTAGTTTTATACTCAAACCAGCCCCTGCTCCACCCCTCCTGTCCCCCTCTATTCCCTTCTGCACGTATGCACCGGATTCCCTTTCAAAGAGATGCTTTCGGCTGCACCACAGTGAGTTCGACATTCTCACCACTCTGTGTGTGTGAATAAGTTCCTCCTCGACTCCCTGTCTTTTTAGATCTGACACAAGCGATCCCAATGCTTTGTTCTCTTCCCCCCCCCCCACCCCACTCCCCATCTGAGGAGGAAAGTCACCTGCTGGCTGGTCATGGTCATTAAACCAGCACAGGTTTGTTCCTTCACTAAAACAGAAACTCCTGTCACGCCACAGGTTGAGTTACAAAACTCGGCATATTTCTTTTGGGGTGGGGTGGTGGGGGGGGGGTTCAGCCGGGTGTTTGATGCAAGGAGAAACCCATCACCATGCTTAAGAGAATCCAAACTAAATAGCGTACAAATAGTTGTCTGCGCACTGTCTCCCTGGAGGGACACACTTGGCTTTACATAATCCCGGGAAGGTATAAGACAGGATGGGCTGTGGTTTGAGACCTGCTTTTCTGCTGTTTTAGTCATTGAAGGATTGGTGTGATGCTTTCTCTCTCTCTCTCTCTCTCTCTCTCTCAGGCAGTGAAAGGAGAAATCCAGTCGCGTGCTGGGGCTGTAGAAGAACTGATCGCGGCCCAAGAGCAGTTTTTGGAAGCGAACCGGGACAAGCTGGACCCTAAAGAGGCAGCGGAACTAGAGAGCAAACTGCTGTCGGCGAAGGGTCAACACCAGCTCCTGTGTAAACGTGCTGAGAACCTGCAGAAGCACATGGACACGTCCCTCACAGCCGCTACCCAACAGCAAACCGAGAAGGTGAGAAACAGGACTGAGACAGTGAGCACAACCTGCCCGTGCGTTCAAGATGATCTGCTGCCAATCCACGACTTGGTGGGACACTGCTGCGCGCAAATTGGCCGCTGCGTTTCGCCCACAAAACACACGGTCGCTCCATGTATGCCTTGAAGAGCTTTGAGACGTCGCAACGACGTGATAAGGCGCTATATCAAATGCAAAGGATTCTGACTATTGAACGCCTGATCCAAAACAGTGGTTCAGTCACGTCATTGTTATGTGCAAGATTGGCTGCCGCGTTATGCCCTCAAAACAACACTATCGCTACGCTTTACTGTATATCCTGTGAAGCGTTTTAATAATAATAATCTTTGCATTTGACGTCGGAAGGACATGTCAAAGCACTTCACCAAATTTACTGTGAAATGGAGTGACTGTGCATTTGTAGGCAAATTCAGCATTTGAGACATCCTCCTGACGCGAAAGGCACGATACAAAATGTAAGGATTACTACTTAACCTTTGGCTTCGTAATGCAAGAACTATAGATGTATATATCTATATATACCAGTCAAGATAACTAGTTTATCATTATTATTCTGAATATTTTGGATTAATTCTGAATATTTTTAAATTGACTCTGTTTAACCCAGAATTTGGAGAACTTTGTTGAATTTTGTCGTTCCAAAGACTAGGACAAATTACATTTGTATAGCGCCTTTCAAGTCTGGAGGACGTCCCCAGGCACTATATTCCACTATAAACTGAAACAAAACTTTATTCCAATGTGAAAATTTGGAACATTGTCATAACAGATTCTCCGATTTACTTTGGATTATTATTATTATTACAGGCAAAGGCAGTTGAGAAATTTGAAGAAACCCAGAGTAAAATAGAGAGCCTTTCAACGTGGCTATCAGGTCTGGGACAAGAGACAGTGCTATGTTCTGAACTGCAGGAGTCGCTGAACGGAAAGCAGTGCTTTGTTGTGGAGACAGACGCTTTGGGAAATGGGTTAAATCAGGTTCAAGACCATGCTGATGGGATGACCACGATGGCTGACACGGCAGGCAGCTTGAGCCGCTACTGTCAGGCACTGAAGGTATGGACGGCACTCGCATTTCAGACTTGTGGTGTTGAAAAGGGTTCCCCTGTTCAGAACAAGTACCTGTTTTAATGACCTTCTGTGTGGAGGACTGCGTCATGAGTGCCTGGCCTAAAATTGCTGTAAGATCCTTAATCTGTGCCCTTTTAACCCGTATTTGACAGTATTGTTCTGGGCTATGGGGCCACTGATGGGAAGCTACGTATCTATATGTACAAAGTACCCTTTCACGATATTGCTTCATGTTTCTTCGTATCTGACCTCATCAAAATTCAGTTCGTAAATCATAATATTTTGTCGGTTTCATAACTTGAGGGGGTGAGGGGAGAAAGGTATTGATTTCTCACCTCCTCTCTCAGCAAACATGGCCCTGCTGTGTGTTCCTGGCCTCGTCAGCAACCACTGTGCTAGTATTTGCCACTAGATGTCAGAGTTGTGGGTTTTGACGTTTGCACCGACTGGTCCTGACGTTTGATAATAAATTGTTTCTCACATGGAATAACAACTTAGCTCGTTATATAAGAACATACATAAGAAATGCTAGCCAAAAAAACATCAAGCTCCATCGAGTTCGCCTTCCATTCTTCCTGGCGGTCGCATGCACATAAGTCCCAAACTACCCATGTACTATATCCCATATGTTTTACCTGGAAAGTTAGAAAGTTTGGGAAAAGCAAGACTTTCTCTCTTTACAAAACTTCCAAGAAGTTAGAATTCTTCATCCTATTTTAATGTAAGTTCATTTTGGTTCCAAAAACTGCTTAAAGCATTTTCAGTGCGTATTTTGAGCGTTTCGCCCACAAAACATATGGTCAATTCACTCTACAGTATATGCTGTGAAGCGCTTTGAGATGTCTCAAAGACGTTATTATTATTAATATAAGCCACAAGTTTCATATTTCTTCTATGAATTGTAATTTGCAAATCCTTATCCAGAATTTCTGAGTCTGACCTGTCGGACAGGAATTGTAAGCTCACTGGAGTTTAGTTTTGTAATTGTAGTGATTAGCTCATATGCTCGAATGACCGTTTCTGTAAATGATTCTGAAATAAAACAGACCCCCTTGCACATGTATATGCGCGTGTGTATATATTACATATAAGATCGGAATCTGCCTGTAACTGATTCTGTTTAATGTCGGATGATATTAATTTGCTCCTACAAATCCCTTTCATGCCCTGATACCCCCTCGTCTCTGTCACGTTCTGCAGTCTCACTTGCCTGCTCACCTCCGCTCTCAGCAAACATGGGCCTGCCGTATGTTCCTGGCCTCGTCAGCAACCACTGTGTCCACGCAATTCCCTCCCTCAAGCCACCGACCCACTCTATCCGTCCTTAAAAGCTGCTTAAAAATCAACCTCTTCGACGATGGCTGTCACCTCCCCATCTTCCCTGCTCAAATGTCCAGCATTGGTTCGTTAAAGTGCTCCAAGACATTATGCTCTACGTACATGCGAGTTGTTGGTCTTAAACACTTTTTCAAAATAAATCATCAGAGAAAGTTCTAGACACGCACAATTTGCTGTTATTTAACTGTATTTTTCTGTATTTTTTTAAAATTTCAGGCCCGACATGAAGAATTGTTATCCCAGCAGCAAGCTTTCATATTAGCAACACAGTCCGCTCAGTCCTTCCTGGACAAACACGGCCATAACCTTTCACACGAGGAGAAAGAGAGATTGCAGAGAAATCTTAATGAATTGAAGGCACGCTATGAGACATCACTTGCACAGTCAGAAGCACAGCTGAAGCAGATCCAGAGCCTACAGGATGAATTCCAGAAATTCCTAAAAGGTAAATCTAAGAAACATAAGAATTTGTTAAGCAAAAGAAGTCCCAGGTCCATCGAGTTCACCTCCTACCATCCTGGCAGTCGCTTGACATGTCATGTCCCAGACTATGTACTGTATCCCCTGATATTATTTTCTAGCAGAAGTCTATCTTAATTTGTTCTTGAAATCAACGACATTTTCTGCAGAAATTCTTAATACAAGTTTCAGAAACAAACCTATTTACTGACAGCTGCAACATTTCGTATGAGGTTAGAGTAAGAATTTAATGATCTGTAGCAACATGAGTTGGACTATTTTTTACTTTAAAGTACAGACAGAGTTGTTTACAGTATTAAGTATAAAGTATCTGATACAATATTGTTCATTTTGTGGTCCACATTCTGTCTTAATCCCACCCTTCAGGTTAATGAATATAAGAGTTACACTGCATACAAAATATTTTGCCCATAAAATATACAGTCAATTCACTTTACAATATGAAGCACTTTGAAACGGTTCGAAGACATGATAGGGCGCTGTATCAAATGCAAGAATTATTATTATTGTTATTAATTACTGACTTATTTTCTCGACTTTTGTAGATCATGGTGAATTTGAGGCTTGGTTGGTTCAATCTGAGCAGGATCTTGAAGAGATGAAGATTGGACAAATGGACACAAATTCATTGCAGAGAACGCTCCAGAGACAAAAAAGTTTCTCTGACGATGTTATTTCTCACAAAGGGGATCTGAGATACATCACAATCTCGGGACAAAAAGTGCTGGACACCGCAAGATCCTTTACTGAAACAAGTACAAACGAGGATTTTAAGTCTGCAGTTGATCCCTCCATCACCAGCACACTAGTGAAGTGCAAATTGAACGATGCCAAAAATCGCTATAACACACTTCATTCCAAGGTAAAACCTCTCTCATTTTGCGATTGCAGAACAATTAAGAGGCCTCAGGTTCGATGTTTTCATCGCCATGCTTTCTTTCAGCAGTTATTAGACGCTTAGTGGATTTTAAGTGAGTATATTTTTTCGTTCACAGTGCAACAAACTTGGCACTCACTTAACCAATATGTTGGAAAAATACCAACACTTCCAAGAGGTTGCTAACGGGCTAACTTCCTGGCTCCAACGCTCTGAGACAACTGCGGGAAAGCTCGTGTCAGAAACCATCTCATCTGACTCTCAGAGCCTTCAGAAGCAACTTGAGAATATCAAGGTAAATTCACTTTCCTTTAGAAATTGCTGCCTTCAAAATCTGCTTAAAAATCTATCTCTCCAGCCATGCTTTTGGCTACGTTTCCCAGTCCCTCCTCGGTTCCCATTCTCAGTTCCCTCGGGCTGCCGTCAGTTCCGTGAAGTGCTTTGAGACGTCCTCCCATTGTGAAATGCGCTGTGCAAATTGTTGTTGTTTTCTGTGCAGGAACTGGTCCTTGTACAACTCGAGCTGTTCTCCTGATTTCCTAATGATGAAAAGGTTGCCATAGTTATTTTGTGTGTTTATATTAACGGAAATTGCAGCTCTGAACAGTAACACAGTAGAACTTTCTAATTTGTTTACTTGTACTACAAAATGAATAAATTTCATTTGCTCCCTTGATAGTTGTCGTCAGGAAGCAAACTTGTTTCACATCGCACAGTCAATTATACTGCCAATTATGGACAATTGTTGGAAACTTTAACTTGAACATAGTATAATTTCTCCAAGGGTATATTATTGGTTCCCACGGCAATATTTAAACTCCAGTTATAAATCCTGTGTATGTTCTTGTGTTTAATGTATTTACATAACCTTTTTTTTTAAACAAATGTCCAATAAATTTATTTTTTGAGTAAAGGTGCAAGTATTTAAGTCAGAATATTAATGTGAGAGATCTTTAAGGATCATTTTGATGTGATAGTTGTACTACATACATTTGTTCGTATATAGTATAGCACAAAAGGTGACTGATAGAGCTGTATTTCGCTGTAAGTAATGCTGATTACATTTTAGTCAGAGCCCAGCAATGTTCACTTAAGACTTAGTCATAATGTACATTATCAAGAGTATTCCTGAACATGAAAAGCTATCTTGATAAATGTTTCCTGTGTCTGCTGACTAGTCATAACACAGCAACAACAACAAATTACATTTACAGAATGCCTCTCACGTCAGGAGGATGACCCAAGGCGCTGAACAGTCAGGGATTTTTACAAAAGATCAATGTGACTGCAGTGTTTGTATTGTCCTGTGTGTGAAGGTCACATTACCGGTGGCTGTCAGTTACACAATAATTATTCTGCAAGGTCCAGTAACCAGTAATGGTTCCTGAATAAGGTTATTTTGCAATGGAGGTGCGACAGATGATATTTAACAGAAACTTCTGAGCATTGAACATGTATAATACTGTGTTCTTTTAACCAATTAAAACAGTAGTGAATACAATTTAATCCCAACCTCATAATGATCAGAATAAGGATAGATAGTAATCTGGGTTTGTGGTAATTATCTTGTGGATCTGCTGAAATTGTCTTTAGTGGAATTTCCTGCCCTTTAAAATTGTGGTTGTGCTGTTTTTATGTAATGCCATTAATAACTAATGTCTCTTGTGAATTTAACAATTAACAATTTACAATTTCGCATGACAAGCCTGTGCTTCTGTAATCACACTGTAGGTGCTTCAAGGAGATTTAACTGAGCATCAAGACAGTGTGACAAAGCTCCAGAAAGCAGCAGAAGTCCTTTTGTCCTTAGATGACGACCTTGTCCCAAATCAGGATCAAATTCAGAAAATAACAGGTACATTTCAGGCAGATGGTCATTGTTATCAGGAGGTGCCATAATAAATTAGGAGAGGAAATAATGAATACTTTTGGACAAACGGCTTTTCTTTGCATAATGTTCTGTGCAATCCTACGTGATATAATGTGAGTGCTGCCCAGCCCCACAAGCGATGTGGCACACTTTCGGGTGTTGGCGCTGACTGGCTTCCTTCCTGTACCCAGCGCCCGCCCGGGCACACATGGTCTCAGCAGTTGTTTCCAGCAACCGCTGGAAAAGCTCACTCGAGCCGTCTCTGCCGGCTCCAGCTGGCTTCCTGTCCACGTGTGCAGGATGGTTTACTGAAGTCAATGGCAGCTGATAATCAGAAGCACTCACCAGTGGCCCCTTTTGTAAACCTACCAGTTATAACAGAGTTGGAGTTTTATGGGCCTAAGCCACCACATTATAACGGAGACTGACTGTGTAATTTCTTACAGATGTGTAGTGCAGTAGCAGCAATAAGTACTTGTTGTAAAATGTATATTGGTTACAGACAATGATTCCAAACGAATCAACAATGCTTTGTTCCGAATATTTTCATCAATTGAATTCTGTTTGTTTCAGAAGTGAGTGCTAATTTCGTTATAGGGTATAGTGATGGTTTAAACAAGTTCCTAAATCTTACTGTGAATGGCTTACCTAATAGTAGAGATGTGGACGTTAAAAACCCAGAAATGATTCAATAGCAATATCAATTGCTTTAGTTTTATTATATTGATGGGGTTCAGCATAATTTCAAGCCATCAAACCTCTATTGCCTTCCTCCTTGATACCAGCAATCAGAATATCTCTATTAAGTCAAACATGCCGTGCACCAAACTACTGTAACTTTAAACACTCAAGTTCTAAAATTTATTTAAAAAAACACAGACCTGAGCATATATCACTGCTTTGTGTTCCTTTCAGAATCCGTCAGTCAAAGGTATGATGCCCTTTCCAAGATCGTGTCAGAGCGCAATGAGAAGGTGCAGATATCGGTTGCTCAGTCCCAGAGTGTTCAACAAGGCCTTGATAACTTGTTGGAGTGGTTGGAAAACGTTGAAAGAAGCTCGAAAACAAAGGATAGCATTTCAGCGTCGTCCACTGCCATCCAGGACGCTCTCACCCAAAACTCCGTGAGTCCTGTTGTATTTTAATTTGTTGGCGTTGTCGGGGAACACACTCACTCGCTGTTGGCAGATTTTCGGTTTATCTTCCAGTTGTATCATAATAATGATGATGTTTATAGGAGAAGCTTGACCCAACATTGAGTCTGTTGGATACTTAAAACTGTTTTTGCCATTTAGAATTGACAGACAATTGAGCATTAAAAGGTAATCATTTTTATTCTGTCGTATAATATCACTGTTGTGTGCAATTTACCAGGTTCCTTACGAAATCCTAAATGCTAATCAGTCTTGTGAAACAAATCAATTGCTGATACGTTTTCAGCGTGTTATGTTCGACCGTATTTTTCTTTCAATCCCAAAAGAGCAAGAAAACAAAATCTAGTTGCTTCCCAAAGTGTATTGAAGAATAAATGCTTATGTATAGGTTGGATATTTTAATCTTTACGGAAGTTCCTCATTCTAATCTTTAACCTTCCAGAAATTAAAGCAGGATATCGCTGGTCATCAAAGCAGCATTAATACGATACAGAAAATGGTCAGTGGTTTTATCAAAACGGCAGATAAGGCAACTGCAAGCTCACTTCAAAAGAAGCTGGACGAATTGAACAGCCGATTGGGAACTGTATGCAGCAACCAGCAGCAGAACGAGGGGAAGCTTGCAAACCTGCTGCCCAAAGTGGAGCAATATGAGAAACTGCTGGAGGAGGTTGGACAGTTCGTTGGAAGCAAATCTCAGAGTCTAGCAGCAGGGGGAGATCCCAGTAAAGACATCGCTCATTTTACACAGGAAATACAGGTGAACCTTTTCGTTCTTTTCTATTTAATGATGATGATAATAATCCTTGCGTTTGATATAGCGCTTCATTATTGATTGTTCTAAAAACAATTCTAAATAAAAGTTCCAAAAAGATTTATAATAATAATAATAATCTTTGCATTTGATATAGCGCCTTATTACATCTTCGAGACGTCTCAAAGCGCTTCGCAGATTATACTGTCAAGTGAATTGACTGTGTATTTTGTGGGCGAAACGCGGCAGCCGATTGCGCACAATTAATACACACAAAAATGAGGTTGACCAATCTGTTGCTTGTAATCATGATGTTTGTGTTGGTTAATGCAGGACGTGAGCAGAGAAATGGTGAAGCAGAGCGGAGCTCTACAGACCTTAGAACAACTGGCAGAGGAACTAACAGCTTCCTCCCTTCTGACACACAAGGAGCAGCTTACGGAGGCCGTCCGAGATCTGGCTGGAGGATACAAAAAACTGGAGGAAAGCGTCAAAGAAAGGTAAGGGAATAGAAGACTATCTATAGGGCCAAACTGAAACACTTACAGTATTGCCTTACATCTCATTATAATTTACTGTATATAATAAACCCATAAAAGCACCAATAATCGTATTATTGCATATTTGGACCTAAAGACCATGGGATCAATGGGGTCACTAACTGCAGTAAAACAGGCGGCTAACTTGTGCCATTGGTGAAACAGATTATTGGTTTTCATTCAAACTTAAAAGAGTAAGCCTTGCATTTGACAAGGTGCCTTCGACATCAGGAGAATATCTCAAAGTGGGGTTTACAGGATTTAATGCAAAGTGTAGTGATTGTATTTTGTAGGGAAACATGACATCCCTTCATCAGAGCCTGGGTTTGTTTTAAAAATGAGGCTGGTGGTAACTTTCTATTTATATATAGATATAATATACATATATTATATATATATATATATCTGTGGTTGCTAATTCTCTGAACACCACAAATATTTCACATGACTAAAGTTTTTAAACTGTTTGCAATGCAAGTTATTAATAAACAAGCCCAAAGTAGCTTTGTGTTCTCACCAAAATAACTGGAAAATCTTAATGACAAATTGGATACAGTAACCTCAAGCATACCCAGTTATGTTTTGACATCTGTTTTTTCTGGGCACATCAGCTTTCAAGTCACTTAATAATAATAATAATCCTTGCGTTTGATACAGCGCCTTATCACACATCTTCGAGACGTCTCAAAGCGCTTCACAGATTATACTGTACAGTGAATTAATTGACTGCATATTTTGTGGGCGAAATGCCGCAGCCAATTGCGTACCACAAAGAGTTGTGGATTGAATGACCAAATTATTATTATTATTATTACACATCTAAACTGGGCACTAAGGTGCCTGATGTTCAGTGTAAAAGGCCAGGCGGTTGGTTTTATAGTGTTAAAAAAATCTTGAAACTTCCTTGCCATCACTTGAGCTACGAGACCTCCCCCTGAGTCATGAGATAGTCTTCTCTTCTTCTGTGGAGGATAGTTAAGCACAGATCCTGGAACAGTGGAGAATAGAAAAAAAAATTACAATTTGTTTTTGTTTACACAATATAGCAGAAGCATTGTGTGCTCTGAATGGGCGCGCGTGTGTGCGCATGTGGGGTGTGTGTAGGGGGGATGTGTGTGTGTGTGTGTAGGGGGGGATGTGTGTGTGTGTGTGTGTGTAAGGGGGGTCATTGTGTGTGTGGGAGGGGGGGTTCTGTGTGTGGCTGTGTGTGTGTGGGAGGAGGTTCTGTGTGTGGCTGTGTGTGTGTGGGAGGGGGTTCTGTGTGTGGCTGTGTGTGGCTGTGTGTGTGTTTGTGTGTGTAGAAGTGAGGCATATTATGTATTATTATAAATCTATCTGACATCATGTATTATTATACTTCCCTTTGTGGCTTGGGTAAATATGCGTCCCGTGGATTTGAACCTTACTCTTTCAGAGAGGTAGAGGCATTGTCCTGCCAGCAGCGTTTGAGTGAGTTCCGATCTCTCGTCGTGCTGATGAAGAAATGGCTAAAAGAAGCCGAGTCTAAAGTACCAGCGTTTGAGTCGACCCTTAATTCAGACACGCTCGAGAAACAGATCCAGCAAATCAAGGTGAGTAGGTGCACTAGAAAACGTAACAATTTCGGCCACTCCCTTCTCAGTCAGGTATGTGTGTGCGGCTTTCTCCTCTTTGGACGAGGACAGGGTCGACAGTGGCCAAATAACTGTCTGCTTAATTCTCATTTGCAGAACTTGTTGGAAGATTGGTCATCGAAATCTTCACAAGTACAGGATATAAGTCACCAAGGAACGGAACTGGAGAACCTCATCATGGAAATAACATCACCCAATTCTGCATTGATATCCAGTAAATCAGGTAATGCTGGGAGTGGTTTCTGTGGGTGCAGCAGCAACAACAACAACAACATCTGCCCAGGTGGATGTTAAAGATCCCATGGGTGGGGAACTGGATGGTTGTTGTTTTCTTACGAAAACTGTAAAGGTTCAACAGAGCCAATTGTAAGCATGTGTGTCCCCCAACGCTCAATGACCAATTCTAACCATTTTATACAAGAAATAATAATCATGATACTGACCTGAGCCATAGATTAATATTCTTTACAACCCACAGTTCTGTGTCTGCCAAAACACCACGTGTGGATGTTTTGGGTCTCGCTATCGAATGGTACAAACCATTTTGGTTTTTTTTTTAACTAAAAAAAAAGTTATCACACACGTATAACACCGCCGCCTGTTATTGTCTTCTGCTATCCCACTGAGGGAATCTGTGTCTGCGTTCAGGGTTCGTTCCTGACGTCATTTGTCCTGTGCGTTGTATCTCCTTGTTGTTCACTCAGGTTCTGTGATGGTGAATGGTGGTGTGACTGCAGCTGGTAAGAATGAGTACCACGGGAACAAAGGTGAGAATATGGAAGGTCTTTGCAACAGCAATTTGCACCTTTCACCATTTCTCTTCTCAGTTGGGATCATGGGGTAGGAAGGGATGATCTCGAATGGCAAGGGAAAAGACTAATATGCTGAACCCAGAGAAATTTAACAACAATCCTTCCATTGGTATAGCGCCTGTCACGCAGGGAGGATGTCTCAAAGTACTTTGCAGCTTACTGTCAAGTGCAGTGACTGTGTTTTGAGGGTGAACACGGCAGTCAATTTGTGCATCGCAATGTCCCACAAACAGGCATGAAACAAATGACCAATTTTATTTAGGGCATTGTTGGCCAGGACACCGGGAGAGAGAGAGATAGTGCCATGGGATCTTTAATCGTCCACCTGGTCAGGAAATTGAGACCTCGGTTTAACGCCTCATCCAAAGGCAGGCAAATCCAACAATGCAGTGGACTCCCAGCCCTGCATTGGGGTGTCTGTCAGCTTAGACTGTGTGACTTCCAAATCCCGATGTAGGGGCTTGAACCCACAACCTTCTGACTTGGAGGAGAGAGCGCTACCACTGGGCCAGGCTGACATTAGATCTCAAAGTGGGTCACCAGAGGGGCTTTTTGGTTGCCAATGATTCATTTTTTACAAAATATTTAAATTGGTAATCGTGTAACCAAAGCTCTGTAAAAACCCTGAACATATTTTTGACTGAATCATAGATAAGGACCATTCCAAACATCCGAACAAAATGAGAAAAGTTGCAAAGTCAGAACATTTGTTTCTAAAAAGCTCCAACTAGATTTGCAATTTGTAAAGTATTTTTTTTAATAAGCCATCATTCAGCCAGTCGAATGGCATTTATTTGCACATCCAGCGTTACCTAAAATGTAAACCAAAAAAAACTAAACTCGCTTTAAAATATTGGACAATTTATTTCAATGAATTTTTTTCCCAGAACTTTCAGAGATACAGTGCAGCGTTTCTGATGTGAACAGTGGGTACGAGAGTCTCGGGAATGTACTGAGAGAACGCAGAGACCACCTTGGGTCTACACTTGACCAGATGCAGCAGGTTCAGGAAGAAACCAACTCAATTATGAAGTGGCTAGAAGTAAAAGAACAGACCCTCTCCACTTTGAACTCATCGCCGGCTAAACCTCAGTCTGTGAAGGCACAGGCAGAACAAAACAAGGTAACTGCATTCATGTTCTTTAAGCAAAGACACTGACTGAAATATGAATTAATAATAATAATAATAATCCTTGCATTTGATATAGAGCCTTATCACGTCTTTGAGACCTCTCAAAGCGCTTCACAGAATATACAGTAAAGTGAATTGACTATATTATTGTTGACGAAACGCAGCAGCCAATTGCGCACAGCATTGTCCCACAAACAGTCGTGGATTGAAGTGACCAATTTATTATTAATATTATCATTTTTTGGCACAATCATTAAAGTTACCAGGTATTTAAAACGTGCCATAGCACGAAACCCAACCCATGGCAACAGTATTTGATATGTGTAACCAATAAGGGTCCTGTGAAGTTGGTGTTATTAATGAGATTTCTGAACTTTGCTTGATTGGATTCCTTTTGTACCAGGCCTTACTTGATGAGCTCGATCAGCACTGCTCCAAAGTTGAGAAGCTGAAGCAAGCATTGACAAATCTAATCAAGAAAAATCCTGATTCTCCAGAAGCTGAGAAATGCAGAAAGATGCTTCAAGAAATGGGTAATTTGAATTATCTTCTAGTACTCGTACACTTGATATTGGATGAGGACACTTATGAATTAATATACAGCACAATGTGGGGTGTGTTGGGGTAGAGTTCCAAGTAACAAGCCAGTTTATTTGTGTGAAATCAATTGAAAAGTTTAAAATAAAAAATGTATGGATACTTGGAGTAAAAGCAGAGAGATTGGGTTAAGGAGATTGTAGTACATAGTAATGAAAAGGATTGTGGAATGGGCAGAATAGATTTTTTTTTTCCTATTCCTGAATTCTTTTGGGGGGAATCGAATGGAAATCATTTCAGTGTGATAAGCTGTCAGATTGTTTGCTGGGAAAATGAAGCCTCTTGTGGAAATTTTCTCGAGATAAATCGTTGTCATTTTTGTTGCCTCGTTATTCAGAATCAAAGTGGAATCGAACCAGACAAACAATAGCCGAGAAGCAACAGAAACTTGAGGAATCAGCCAACCTGTTGACAAGTTTCCAGAGCACGGAATCACAGCTGAGTCCGTGGCTGACAGAAAAGGAATTAATGATGAGTGTACTTGGCCCTCTGTCGATTGACCCTAACATGTTACATGCGCAGAAACAACAAGTGCAGGTAAAATGGTTTGTCCACCAATACCTTATACAACCAATGATTTATTGTGGTCCTAAATTATCTAACCCTAATTGTCGGTAATTTGCCTCTTTGTGTGCAACAGTTCATGTTGAAAGAGTTTGAAACTCGCAAGCCACAGTACGAACAACTAAACCAAGCAGCGCACGGAATATTGAATGGACCCGAGGACGTCTCTCCCTTGGACGACCAAGTGAGAGACCAGCAGAGAGCCATCACTGAGAAGTGGGATAAACTGACCAGCCAGCTCGGTGGCCGGTCCCATCAGATCGATCAAGCCATCGTCAAAAGTGTACAATATCAAAATGTGCTACAGATCCTCACAGACAAAGTCAAGAGTCTTCAGGATAAACTGAACAGCCAGCCTCTGATCAGCACCCAGCCGGATATCGTCAAACAGCAACTTGAAGACACCAGTGAAATCCGTTCCGATTTGGAACAACAGAAAGAACAGATCGAAGAAGCACAAAGCCTTTGCAGTGACCTGTCGTGTCTTATTGGTGAACAGTATCTGAAGGATGAGCTCCGTAAACGACTTGACAATGTCCTACTGCCTTTCAAAAGCCTTGAAGAGAGCGCAGGTTGGTATCGATCTCGTATCATAGACTTGTCGTCATTTTCCGTTTCCTACAAATTCTGTTCTAATGTCCCAAAAGTGCCTCAGCGTATTACCAAGAGAAGAAAAATATTCATCTCTTGTTCCAGGCAAAGTATTTTTGCAATAAGTTGCTATAACTCAGCCAATTGTCATGTACAGTCACTCCACTTTACAGTATCTTCTGTGAAGCACTTTGAGACACGGTGAGGCGCTATAACAAATGCAAGGATTATTATTGTCAACTGATAGTCTCCATTCTAATAATAACTTGCATTTATATAGCACTGTTCGAACACAAAGAAACATCTCAAAGCACTTGACAAATGTACTGATTAACAAGACAAAGGGAGATTCATAGATGTCGCCCAAAGGCAAAGTCAATCAGATGAGATTTCAGGAGGGATTTGAAGGGAGCACGAGTCAATAAAGCAAACAGAATGCTAGCTCTGTTGCTAAATAATTTGATTTGGGACTCCCAGTGCTCTCCTCTGCACTGCCTCTAGAACCTGGGCAGCCCGTAAGGTAGCGGTGATCAGAACTGTGCGCAGCTCTGAAAATATAACTCGTTTCATTTTGTTATCCATAACATCTTAAAACCTTTATCGCTATGCTCGTTGTTCTACGCAGGTGACCGCATGAACCAACTTCAGACCACGCTGGCCAGCTCCCAGCAATTCCAGCAAACGTTTGACGAACTCAAATCGTGGCTGGACGGGAAAGGCAGCGAGCAGGCTCAGAAGCCACCCGTGTCTGCCAAGCTTGATATTTTACAGTCTCAAATCAGGGAGCAAGAGGAGTTTCAGAAAAATCTGAACCAACACACCGGTTCCTATGAGATGATCATCGCGGAGGGGGAGTCTCTGTTTCTGAATGCCCAGCCGGGAGAGGAGAAGTCAACCCTGCAGAGTCAACTGGTGTCGCTCAAGGCCCAGTGGGACGAACTGAATAATCAGGCCACGGGCAGGCATTCCAAGCTCAAAGATTGTCTTCAGAAAGCACAGAAGTACCGGAAACACATAGGGGACTTGCTACCATGGATAGAAGAATGCGAGGCTAAAATCAAAGAACTGGAGATCAGCATCGATCCCGTCGAACTGAATTCCTCGTTAGCCAAAGCGAAGCATCTTAACCACGATGTGGATAAGCGTCACTCGCTGCTGGAGATGGTCAACCAAGCCGCGGACAGCCTGGTAGATTCCTGCCAGGTCGACGAGGAAGGTATTAGGGATGAGAAGGCAGATATTAATCAGAGGATGGACCTTATCACAGAGCAGCTTCAAGCTAAGAACGAGTCAATAGAAGAGATGGCCCAAAGGTTAAAGGAGTTTCAGGATTCCTTGCTAAATATTCAGAAGAAGCTCGATGGTGCCAAGCAGCAGCTTGAGGTCTATGATGCTCTCGGGACACAGGCCCACAGCAATAAGAACTTGGAGAAACTAAGAGTTCAACAGGAAACCCTTCAGACCTTGGAGCCGCAAGTAGACTATCTGAGAGATTTGACCCGAGGGCTCGTAGAAGACACACCCGCCGGCGCAGATTCATCGCAGCTTTTGCAGCAAGCCGAAGCCGTTCAGCAGGAATACGCCACCGTTAAACAGCGGGTGGGTGAAAGCTGTCAGTCGATGGAAAACAGGCTACAAGGAATTGGACAATTCCAGAGCCACATCAGAGAGATGTACTCCCAGCTTGCAGACCTGGACGATGAACTTGATAGCATGAGTCCCATTGGGAGGGACCTGGACAGTCTTCAGTCACAGTTTGATGATGTGAAGCAATTCATGAGCAAACTGAAAGAGCTAAAGGGAGATATTGAGTCTTCTCAGAAGGAATGCACGCACATGCTCGAGGAGGAGGGCAGTCCGGATCTACAAGGGCTGAAACGAGAGCTGGGAACTCTGAACAAGCAATGTGGGAAACTGCTGGAACGAGGAAAGAACAGGCAAGAGCATGTGGAGACAACCATGGATCGTGTCGATGATTTTTACGGAAGACTGAAAGACCTGGGCAGTCTCCTAACCAAAGCAGAGGAGGGGGAAGAATTGCAAGGTGTGGTGGGCACTGAGGTGGATGTTATCAATCAGCAACTGGCAGACTTTAAGGTAAGTTGTGTTTTTATTTTTGTTGAACGTCTTGTTTCGAATTGTTCACGCGTCACTTGTGTCAGTTGGATTGTGTTAGTTACTTTAAGATGTTATCGTCTCTTTATGTATACGCCAATATCAACTGAAAGAGGCATAGATTACTGGCTGGTTCCTTTAAACTACAGAACCGCCCTCTGTACTCACCATCTTGAACACTGGGCCATTCAGTAGTCGAGTTGATTAAGGCAGAGATTTGGAGGGTAGTGGCTGAAAGCATGGCCACCAATGGTGGAGCGGAGGGGACAAGGGACGTGCAGAAGGCCGGAGCCCGCTGAGCGAAAGGGCAAGTGGAGGAGTGCGCTGTAAACAGGTCAGAGAGAGGTTGGGAGGTGCCAGGACATGAAGTGATTCGTACGTGAATGTGAGGATCTTTAAATTGATCCATTCCGCGATAGGGAGCGAGGGGAGCCTCGGAAGGACTGGGGCGATAGAGGAGGGGGGAGCCTGGTACAGGCGGGAACACGGGCAGTGCGGTTTTGAATCAATTGGATTTGATACCCAGTCACTCCACTTCACAGTAAATCCTGGTGAAGCACTTTGAGACGTGCTGACGTGAAAGGCACGATGGTCAAATGCAAGGATTATTATTATCATTATTAAAATTGCAAATGCTGCCGCTTCTCGGCTTACCTGCGATGACTTTAATTTTGAGGTTATTCCATTAATGAGCAGCTGGGCTGAGTTTACTAGTTATCCCGCTAAATATATCACGCAGTGCCTATCACCTGTCTCTGGCTAACTATTTGTGTTCCCTCTCCCAATACTTGACATAGCAATCCGTGTCTGGAGCTTTGCGCTACGCCTGTTGTCTCAGGAACCCCTCCCTGCAGAAGCATGGACTCAAATAGCAAGGCTTTTGCTATTTTTAAGCAATGATGCAGAGCAGAGGGCATTGAGCAGCCATTTAATGGTCTTGTTTTTTTTTAAAAGCACATTAACGAATAAAAGTCCAATGTTTTAATCAAAACTCTTTTGTGTGGGACGCTGCTGTGCGCAATTGGCTGCTGCGTTTTGCCCACAAAATATACAGTCATTTCACTTTACCGTACATTCTGTGAAGCGCTTTGAGACGTCTCGAAGACGTGATAAGACGCTGTATCAAATGCAAGAATTATTATTATTATAAATTCTTCCACTGACTTCCGTTTTCAAAGTTTTATATCGTCTCAGCTTTAATAAACTCTCCTTGATATCCTTTAGATAGATAATAAAGTGATTAGAATTGCTCAACCGGTGACTGTTCACCTTAACATATTTAAATCTACAAGACATAGACATTATTGTTAATCATAGGAAGATTATGTGGGACTAGAGAAGAGTGTCAGTAATACCAAATGATTTTTCAGTGATGGTATAGCACAGTACAAGGTGCCAGTGCTAAATGAGGTTAACATATGAGGTTAACATACGTAGTTTCAACTCTTCCTTCTCGCCCGCAGGTTTGGAATGTTTCTGAATTTAATGCTTTCTGTGGGTTCACTCCAATCGACTGCTAACTATCTTGTAAATTTAGAAATAATAACAACAATGATCCTTGCATTTGATGTAGCGCCTTACCACTTCTTCGAGACATCTCGCAGCGTTTCACAGAATATACTGTAAAGTGTAGTGACTGTATGTTGTGGGCAAAATGCAGCAGCCAATTGCGCACAGCAGTGTCCCTATTTCTACTGACCGAAATCAAGTGCATTAATCCGATTCGAAGGGTTATTCTCTCTTCAGAAAATTCACAGTATCTGTTAAAAGTTATAACTTTGAATGGATGGACTCCAGGACCAATTTGACACGTTTTCAGTTCTGTGCAACTCCAGATGTTTTGATGTGAGGTGTACTCTTGCTGACCTTTCCAAATGTCTTCGTGTTAATGTGTTCTGCTGCATAGCAGGCAGACTCTCTTGAGCTTTTACCAAACCGATCTCCCCACCCCCTTCTAATGGATTAAGTCGCTGAGTGGCTGAGTGGAGAACCGTACGCTATTCCCATTTCCGTGGAACAGTTGTAAATTCTTGAACCCAGATGTGGTTGATATGCAACATTACTGCATGCTTGAAACTATTGGAATTTGAGATAGCTGCAATCAAAAAGAGAATGAGCATTACGTTTCAATGTGTGTCTTAGGAACTTTAGTTTCACTTAGGAACTACTTAATGCATGCTGTGCTCTCAACTAGCAAAGGGAGGAATCGTTCATCTCGTCAACCTTGGCTGCCTTCTAACCCAGATGAAGGCGGTGTGTGAATTGACTGTGTCCCCTTTTAAAACCAGATTATTTTTATTTAAAACAAAAGTGGCTGAGGTACTGCAGGAGTTAGAAATGCCCTAACCCTAACCCTAATTCTCCTTCATATTTGTACATATTGCAATTTCTCTCAACAAGTCAAAAAGAAATTCATGGCAAAAAATAAATTATTATTGTTATTTTTGGCCTGTTTTTAGGCCCGCGACTTTCAAAAACATTCTGTATAGATCGTTCGAACATTGAATGCATAGAAATTTGAATACGAATTAAGAGGGAAGATGACAAGAGAAAAAGTAGTGGAAGATTCAAAATCAACAAGAAGGAAAAAAAAGAAAGTAGACAAAAAGTAAAAGATTTGCAAGTGCAATCCAGATATCTCGAAGACCAGTAAATATAATTCAAATGTTTCAATCATTGACTTTGATATAAAGACCATGATTATATAAAGGACTATTACTCTCCCAGGCATATTTGTTCTGGATCAGTCACCTGGAAACATTATTTGACTGCGATACAGTAAAATTCGGAGCGCACCCAATCATTGCTGTGCCAAATTGTTTTTGGTTGGACTCGTTAGGGAGGTTTATGGTCTGGAAAAAAACAACCTTTGAAGGTAGACGTCTCTACTTCATTACAATACATGGATTTACCTAAAACGAGTGCGAGAATGGAAACGTGTCTATTGAGAATCTGGGCTCACTTGAAATGCTTCAGTTTTACTCTCATAAATAGCTTTGGATATTTTTGCAGCCTTGGGAATTCCTGTAAAAAAAAAGGATGAGTGCCTCAACAGAACAAATATTTTCATCAATGTTTAAGGACTGCTGGGCATTGTACATTAAAACTGATGTTGGAAAAACTAAACCCGAAGATGGGTCCCTATTGTGAATAGCTTTGTGAATAGCAATTCTGTGTACATTGGCAGTTAAAATATTGTGGCTGCTGTAACGTGAAGTGTTTATTTTGTCCAAAGTCCTGCTTTAAACTTTAATCTATGCCAAAAACTTGAATATTTCCAACAACGTAAGGAAAAACATTGTGATTTATATTTCTGGTTCTGGAATCCTTCCATGCTGCGAAAGTTGTAAAAGTAATCTGAATTTCCAGAGCGTTACTCTGACCTTTCATCTGTAAAGCAATACACCAGGGAATGTTTTTAGCTGGTGGGCTGATGTTTTTTTTACCCCTGTCTGCGGTTGTCTTAAAGTGACTAAATGGGAGCAGTAAAGCAGGGAAAACGAGGGGGAGGGAGAGGAACTGGAGAGAAACTGATGACAAAACAGAAAAGGAATTTTGATTCAGATTTAGTATTTCCGTAGCAAGAGTATGCTGAAAAAGGAAAAAAAAAACTTTTTGTCTTGCATAACTTGCATTCCACTGGCTAATCTGGCGTTCAGGAGAAACTTTTCAAGTTACGTATAGCGGTTTCTTTTTTCATTTTGTGCAGAGAATCTCTGTTGTATCACGTTCAAAAAAAAAAAAGTTGTGTTACACTTAAATTAAAACTGAAGATTAATGCTTCGATGAAACCTTAAACCAAAACGATCACTCTGTGGCAAAATGATGCCAACATTAAATAGAACCTTGTAAATCAAGTCCTATGGTCCACAAGGATCTAATCACTGAAACAATTTAAGATCAATAATTGCTAAATACCTTAATTTCATGTGGCTTTGATGAGGTAACAAGCGGTGTTAACCCCTTCAGTGCTAAATCATGTTTGCAGCCTGTCATTTTCATCATGTTGGGAAGTTGTGCCACTTGTGTTTACTCTTGATGAATGTGATTTTGGGTTTGCGAAGCAACTGAACAGACTGACTGAATATTCAAATGAATTGTCAATTTTTCCGGATGCATTTGTTTTCTGGCCCAATTCCAGAATTGTTTGGTGACGATCAAAAGCTTTGTGTTTTTGCTGGACGCACGTAATGTAGGGAAAGCAGAATGTCCTGATCAATGAGACACTGTACAAACAGCAGACAGGCTTTCGCGAAAGTCAGTTATGTTGAGAAGCTGTTGTTTGGCTACTTGGGGCTGAAATGCAAGAGGGAGGGGAAGGAAGAGGAGAGTGCACGAGGTATTCACAATGTTACAGGATCACAGCAGATGCTTCTGAGCAAGAGAGAGAGAGAGAGAGCAAATGAAAGAGAGAGAGAGAGAGAGAGAGTGAGGGAAGGGCGTTTCTTTGTCTGTGGAGCAGAGACAGACATTAAAGTGGGTTGTGAAGGAGAAATTGCAGTGCAAACCGTTTGCCTCGTATACGTTTTTTGTATCCAGTGCCAGTTAAACCATCAAATAAAAGAAGTAAGTGTTTAAGGTTCTTTTTTTCACCCTCTGTGTAAAGTGCTGGAAAGTTGACATGGCTGCAACAGAATTCTTTGTCGTTGTGAAAGCATAGCTGCATCTAATTAGCCTCCGAAGCTGACGTAGAGGTAAAGGATTAATTACAGCGGCTTCACACTGCCCACAAGTGAGCCAGTCCGGCTAACTTTCTTTACCAGCACATGCAGAGGCAGAAGTTGGTCGGGGAAGAGGCTGTTTATTAGGAAAGCTCTGGATGGTTGAACAGAACGCGGAAGCTCACAAGCCCCTTTTGTTCAAGAGCAAAATTTTCGGGAAGAATGTGACAGCTGGACACCCTTCCCAACTCCCGAGAAGAAAATGAACTTTGTCTGCCGTGCGTTCCTCCTCAGCCTGAGAGGTAAGGTTAACAACCCGAG